TGCGGGACTGGCGCCGCTAGCCAGACTGAACCTGCGGGACGGGAGCCGTCAGCAGACAGAACCTGCGGGACGGGAGCCGCCAGCAGACAGAACCTGCGGGACGGGAGCCGTCAGCAGACAGAACCTGCGGGACGGGAGCCGCCAGCAGACAGAACCTGCGGGACGGGAGCCGTCAGCTGACTGCCGAGCACGAGGTCCGGGGTAAAGACGGCTCTCCAGTAGAGGTGCTCCTCCACTTACCATGGGGTTACTGTCATACAAACCCATCGTGAGTGGAAAGTACCATATATCATACTAATGACTGACTTACAACTACCATCAATTAATAAGTTATTAATTACTGTAACTAAATACCAGTAATTGAAAAGTAGATCAATTAATACAAGCTTATTTGGTTAAACACAACAAAAAACACACTGTACAATAAAGAGAACGGAGGCATGGCTGGGTGGATGCTGCCCGTACGGCGTATCGCTGGCCCAGGATCAGATCAAACTTCGAAGGTGGCTACTGAACATGCACCACTATTGCACCGTCGTAAAGTCAAAACTTTAAGCTGATTCATCAGCATCACATGGTCATTCGAGATGTAGAGTGCTTAACCATTTTAACAACTGCATACTGCAATTAAATTACTTCAAAGGTACAAGAGCAGGACTAACCTACTGCTTCCAGGCTTGCAGGAGTAACCTTAAGGTTGTGGATCTGTGTCTATGGCACTGAACCTTCCGTCTTTATTTGGACTAAGTACAGAAGCCCCAACTTCTGAATAAATGTAAAAACCACGATTTTCTAAGCAAACAAAAAAGCTGATCTCCGAAATCAGGAAGCAGAGGCGTTGGCCAATCCCGACGCACCTGCAGGAGCTGCACCACAGTGGGGGTCTTGTTGAACATTTCCTGCAGCTGATGGAGGATAATGTTATGGCAGTTGCTGCAGCCCGAGTTGGGCCCCACCGTGCCCAGGGAGAGGTGGCATCGATGGCTGCTAGAGGTCCACTGGATGGTCACCTGGATCGGGACGAGACGGAACCGAATAATCAAACACGGTCTCTGGGCCAGAATTTATCCACAGTTATATGACAGCACTGGTCCTTCAGCCCCGACTGCAGCAGGCAGCACTCAGACCCATCAGGGCTTTCATCAGCGTTTATCCCACAGAGCCTTTGACACGCCTCCGCTTCAGTACAAAGCTTTTAGCCAGAACAATAACAGCAGGCTGGGGAGTAGCAGCAGGATATGGGTTTTTCTCACGAGCAAAGTGAAACGGTCACGATGCTGAAGGGTGATTTTCTCACGCTCACCGAACTCCCCTTGGTGGCTCCATAACACAGCACCAGCTTGCGGTAGTTATACAGCCGGACCTCAGAGAAGAGACTCAGGTAAGACGGCATGTCTGCGGGCGGGAGGGAAGGGGCATGGGGAGAGACAGAACAGGCAGCCATTAGAGAAGACTGATCGCTAGCGAATTCAGCACGCTGCTAGGCTTGCTGTCAAAGCAGCCATTTTAACTGCAGGGATGAAACAGCTCCGGGAATCGCACAAAAGACTCGTCAGGAAAGCATGCATGAGCCAAGCTTGTCTATTGAGGAACGAGTTACAATCGTGTCAAGAACCATTGCAGCTCAGCCAAATTCCAGCTCATAGTCAAGACTCATTTGTACTAATGCCGACGGTGCGGTCTGTCATTGCTAAAAGGAGAATGTTTTGGCTGGTGGCGGGGAGTCCCACGTACCCGGCAGAGAGTTGGCATAGTCCAGCACACACTCGTACAGCTTGCTGATGCTGCTCCAGTCGTTGAGGAACATCTCCACCACCTTGCGTCCACCCACAGGTTCTGACAGAGGGTTCTCGTACGTCATGTACACGCGGCGTGTTGGGGCTGCGGGGAGACACACGCACTCCGTAAGCGATTCCTGCCAGCGACGAGTCACGAAAATTCAAGACTTCTGCTTGTGACAAAAGTTGAGTATTACAGTTCACAGCTACGACACAAACGCTTCAGCAAAGCGCTCAGTAAGGCCAGCCACAACTCAGGGCCGTTCCGACAAAACAGCCTCCAAGTCAAGAGCCGTCAACCATTAAAGTTAAAATCACAGCTTTCAGGAAAGGTCTACTACACAATCAACAAAACACTCATTGAAAAACTAATCACTTTTAATTAGAATTCATAGACAGGACTGACCACACTCCAAACTCCACTCCGAACATGCAGAAAAAGCATCAGATATAGCAGACTGGCATATAACAGAATTTCGCTTATAATGGACAAACAATTTGGTCCCCAGGGCCGCTTTTAGCTGTAGTTTTGTTCGGCTATAACGGACATGCAGCTCCGCCTACAAGGCGTGTGGCGTGCCGGTGATATCCAGCGCAGATACGTACGTAGTCGGGATTATTAATAGTCACGCATCTGGTCGGGTAAAGTTGGATTACTACAAGGTACAATATAATAATCTATACCACAAGTGTGTCTGCTGGGGTGTGGCATGAGTAAATGGTGTCCTGTAGTTGTGTTCTGGCCATACAGCAACTCTGGATATAAGGGACTGCATTGCCAGGTCCCGTGAAGAGCCGGGATTTCAGTGGAGGGATTTTCACTCATACAAAAGATGGGCAGATCATGTGTTCGGGGTGAGGCCATCCATGCACACACACACCCGGCTCCTTGCTAGATGTGCTGCTGAGGGGGCAGTTGGAGAAGACCAGCTCCACCAGCCATGTGCGGTTGTTGCGGCCCTGCAGACGGAAGGTACAGTCCAGCAGGGTGCGCTGCAGGGCCTTCTGGGTCTCCTCACTGACCCCTTTGCAGCCTGGGATTCTGGGAGACACAGAAACTGACCTCAGCGCAGACTCGAAGATAAACTACCATTCAAAATAGCTTTCTTTCTCCTAGGTCTGAGGCCAAAAGTCAAAGAAAATTACAGGCCTCAAGACAAAAAAAAATCATGCCACAACAGAGCACTAAGAAAACCGCTACAGGGAATATTCACCTGAGTATACGGATGGCATGACTACAACCATCCCCTTCCACCTGCACTCCTTGGTGTGGAATCTCCATGTTGGACAGCTGGAAGAAGACGACAAAGATACTTTCTGAAGACATTTGTTTGAAGACCACACAGCTGTAGATCAGCAAATAGAGCACTGGGCTAACAACGCAAAGGTTGTGGATTCTAATGCGAGGAACTCACATAAATTATAACCTTTTCCTCGACTGTAAGTGGCTTTGGATAAAAGAGTCCGGTAAATATGAAATGTAACTAATTTTATACTGCAGCCTAAAAGAGGACCTGCAGGGGGCGGTCATGGGCTGTGTGACTCAGACACCCTCGGTGAAGGCTAATGACCAGGCAGGAAAGAACTTCAAAGCTGCAACTAGCCTTCATATAGTTAATATTCTTACACAATGAGAGACTGTTATGAAGGGTTTCCCCCAGACACTGCATTACCTCACAGCGCAAGCCGATGAAGGGCATGTTAGTGTCACATGCGGCCACCAGGTGGGCCAGCACCTTGTTGAAGGCACACACCTCCCCCGAGCGCCTGGGCTTCTTGGCTTCCACAGGACCCTGGTCCCCAGACAGCTGTGGAAGATCACAGCCAGCTAAAAATCGGTTCTGCGTGGGACATTCCCCACGGAGCAAAACAGAGAACAGCACAGACAGTAAAAATGCTCCACTGTGAATTTCATCCTGGGTTGAACTGCAAGACTAGCTTGTCATAAACACTATTTAAAAATGAATCAATGCAATTACCCCACAGTGATACTGAAGTAGAATGAAGCAGCAACACACATGCAGAGAATGGAGGACAGGGTCCCCTTCCCCTACGTGACTGTCTGACCCCGGAGCAGCTCAGGGTCCCCTTCCCCTACGTGACTGTCTGACCCCGGAGCAGCTCAGGGTCCCCTTCCCCTACGTGACTGTCTGACCCCGGAGCAGCTCAGGGTCCCCTTCCCCTACGTGACTGTCTGACCCCAGAGCAGCTCAGAACATAATGGGACACCAAGATAGCAGACAGAAGCTACAGAACACTGACCTCTGCTTCTGAGTTTATTTTGGCCTGTAATCTAACTTTTAAAGCACTTACAAATAGTATTAGCTCTCATTCATTAGAAAATATTTTTCAAAATCAAAGGGTCCTTCTGGGAGATGATAACCAAAGGTCTCTTCCTGCTGAGCCAAAGGGCATTATGGGATTTCCTAGAGGCAACTGCAAAAGGCCAGCCTGTCAGCTGCTCTCAGCTCTGACACGTCAGTCTACTCACATCCTCAGCAAATCAGTCACTGGAGTGAGCTCTTCCAACCCAGGGGAACATGCCAACCTCTGTCCCGAAACACACGAATACAGCAATGCGACGTCTTCCATTAGCTCTGCTTCCCCCCCAACAGGGTGCGGACAACGCCCACCTTCCTCTTGGCCCCTGGCCTGCCTGCCCTGCCAGACACCGTGTCCTGGACCAGCTCCTCCAGGCTGGGCTTGAACTGCTTCAGCAGTTGGGCACTGGCCGGCCCGTCGTCACCCTCCGGCTGCACCACGGACAGGAAGTAGTACCTGTAGTCCAGCTCGGTGGGGCAGCCGGGAGAGTCAAGCATCTCCACCACCTGCAGGATGTGACCCAGGGCAGAAGGTGATCATCACCCTGGGGCTTTTAACGTCATCCAGGAAGACATCATATTCTATTTAGCACTACAACCTGATCTAGATCTTCAGCTGTTGTATGTAAATAAATCTACAGCTGGGTAAAGTGGATTCATAGTATATTTTTCATTTTCTAGAAATCAGACATTACTGTGCATTGTTAAGTTTATCACATCAGTGTTAAACAGGGTTTAATGTTAAAGAATATGATAAAGCTAAACCCATAGAGACAACGGAGACGGTCTCAATCCAAGACCAACATCAGCTCAACATCAGCATCTCCTTAAGGTACGAGGTAAAGACATAACCACCAATCAGGGAGACAATCTGCTTGCTACCATATATGGCTTTGAGAGAATGTAATAATGCATATTGGCATTGCTACACACAAGTACGAGACATGCGTTTATGAACACAACAAAAAACAGGGACTTACAATGTAGTACTGGGGGAGGCGGGTGAGCCTGACGAAGAGGCAGTGCTTGGACAGGCTGCCGGCCGGGTGCGAGGCAGCATTGGCCAGCGGCAGCGTGTCGCTGCACACAGTGGGCAGGTGCTTCACCGAATGCCGGCACCTTTGCTCCCCCAGCCAAAACCTGTGGTCAACAGCAGCACAACCCTTATCGGAGAGATCGAGGCTTGGAGAGATCCGGGCCGCGGCCAACAGCGGCACGGCCTCTACCAGAGAGATCCGGGCCGCGGCAAACAGCGGCACGGCCTCTACCAGAGAGATCCGGGCCGCGGCAAACAGCGGCACGGCCTCTGCCGGAAGAATCAGGGCTTGATTCTGTGCTCATGGATAAAAAAGCTTTTTGCTCAAACACCAGCTCGGTGAGTATCACTAAAGATAATGATAATGCCTAATATGTCACAACCATACACCCCACCCCCCACCCGCTGAGCACAGGATATGTAAAAGGAATATTACTTGAGCTGCTGCAGCCAGGAAACAAGGCGCCTGGCATCATCGTTGATGGACTTCTCGATGTCGTCCAGCATTGACTGATCTACGGGAAAGAGAGTCGTTTCCTTCTGACTAACGGCTCAGTGGCCTCGCGATGACGGCAACACAGGTCTCGAAACAACTCTGCTTTCCCTGCTTACCGAGGCCGTATAGCATGGGCTGGAACATTCCGGAATGCAAATCCACAAATATGTGGAGGCATTCTGAGCGCCCGCAAGGCTCCAGGATGGGGATGACGAGAGTGGGCAGAGCGGACTCCATGAAGGCTGCAAGGTGACATAATATTCTGGGCTTCAGTGTCATTTTGACGCTGTACATATTCTGAATTAACCACCCGGTTCACTTAGAATGGATCTAGTTTCCCGGACACAGCTATAATTACAGCTGTGACTGAGTGAGAGTTTAAAATGAGAGGATCTTGCTCCCCTACGGCCCAAACACCCTGCAATCGTCACCAGGTCACCGTATCCCACGTCACTTACAATTGTCACTGGGGTTGTAGCCCTTCAGGACAGCTTTCAGCTCCAGCAGCTTCTGGTGGGAGCGGGCGTGGACACTGTCGATCAGCAGCTTCTCCACCGACAGGTGGTCGATCTGCGAGATGGGACAGACGTGGGGGTCAGAGGCGGAAGCTACCTGGCCAGGGCCACATTCAATCAAACAGGCGGGTAAACTTTCTGGTCTTGCCTTCAAGGCCCTCTCCGTTAGTTTAGAGTCGCACGCTGGCAGTGGAGGCTCATGGGATATCTGCAGAGGCCTGGAGCCGTCAGCCTCGTCAATCTTGATGCTGACCCTGTGTATGGGCGCGGTTCCAGTCTTCCTGCCCAGTACCTGCTGGCTGTAATGGAGGACAGGACATTCTGTACCAACAGACGAACCTGAGTCCCACAATCAGCTTCTGATCAAAATAAATATGACTTAATTCCATCAGGGGTGTCGATTTCACATGCTGAGAAACAATGCCGCAGAGTGGCGGCAGCCAACTCACTTCCAGACAGAGAGGACGAGGCTTTTGGCGGGAGAGTAGCGCTCCACCTGGACGAGGTCGCCCCAGCGCTCGCGGATAAGCATGAGGGCTTGGGAGTGCAGCACCTCCAGCTGCAGTGACAGGCAGAAGGAATCTGCGAGCCCTCCGGTTAAGGACTAACACTGGGGCTGCCTGGGGCCAGCTGACCACCGTGGGCCAAGGAGGCGGCCATTCGGCATTCCGGGCTCCGGAGGACATTCAGTCTTTCTGATTAAATTATGAAAACAAGCCACCATTACGATGCAGAGACCCACCGATCGGACAATCCTCTCTGCTTTGAAAACGGGATGTATGAGGCCATTTCCCAGTTTAACACCAAGTTGGTTGGAAACAATAATTTTACAACTTTAAAATTCAACAACAAGGCTACAGAAGGTTAACTGGTGAGTTCTTGCGTGCTCACACACAACACCACGATTGCTCTGCATAGAGAAACATGCAAATATGCGGCATGCCTGCCAGTGTGATCGCTTGTCATTTACAGCTGAGCGAGCGCAGTGCGCAGTTACGGAGGTGCCACAGCCAATCGCTTGCTATCGCTAATCACTGGAAGTTTCACAAACGATGGCCGGTAGAAAGAGATCTGGCAGGGCTGAGGAAATCACACTGCTTGAACAATTCAATATGCTATAATTCATTTATTTCTTGAAATGGCAGTAATAAGTTTATCGCGATAAGACTTGAAATGTTGCATCATTTTTCTCCAAGAATGAAGACAAAATGGGCCGGTCTTCCGGGCAGAAAATAAGTCTAGCATGCAAGTGATGTGGCATGTGGCATTTCAGAGTAACGGAGATCTGCCGATGAGCACGGAGCCGGCATACTGATCGGCTCATCAAAATGCCTTTAGAGCGGCCTTTCGGTGAGGAGGCCAGTGGCCAGTAAATCCATTAGTGATGGGAGAAGCTAACACTGGCAGCCACGGGAATCCACAGTAGCCCTTTCTGACAGGGTGCACTAACATGAAAGCTGCCAGGGCAGGAGGGAACAAGGTTACACTGCATTTAAACACCAGGCCAGCAAACAGGGCTATATTCATGGAAAAAAATACAGGGGTAGTAAAACAAGCTGAACAATACAAAAGGTAAAAATGTCATAAATAACTATTAAATATTACAAACAGTTCAAATACGCTTAAGATCAGCTTTTGATAAAAAAAACTAACTAAAAAAGCCTCTGGCTTACCAAAGACGAACCCATGGTAATCACTTGCATGAATATAACAGGTCACTGGCATGAAAATCAGTCCAAGATCTCCAATAGAACTTTAATTGCATTCAAATTAATTTATTACTTTAAACTGGGATTCCCTCATGTAGAGGGCACTCTGTAGACAAATGTATGAGCTCAGTTTGAGGGGACAGGAAACCGTCACACGGAAAAGCTCACGGCCAACCCTAGTGCCCCAGCCATGCTCTCCTATACCCCCCCCCCCCCCCCCCCAGCAAATCCGGAAGAAGTTCAGGTCCCGCCAACCTCAAGGTTCCCCCGTAAGGATACGAAGGCAGTTGTACATATCCTGCAGGGGCTTCTCGTCAGCGAAGAGCCGGGACTGCACCAGCGAATGGATGAAGTTCACCTGCAAGCTGTGCACCAGAGCACGACCATCTACGAGGGGAGAGACAGAGAAAACTGGTCACTGAAGCTGTCCTGAACTACAGTCCGCAACAAACTGATCTCCTACCTGCTGACAAGACGACACGATGCCCACCTCCCGTCTCCTTGTCCTCCACCAGGATCTCCAGCTTCAGAAGCCTCCATGGTATTTCTGGGTCATCCCCCATCACGGTCAGCGTGGCTTCAAACTCGCCCTCCACGCGAAACCTCACACGCCCGTTGGCTTCAGAACATGACGCGGTATCCATCAGTCATTCCACAACCTTAAACTGAGACTCCTTCAACTGTACATGTTACTGCTGGGACCTGAACGATAATGATCCTTCACCTGGAAGTTCTTCAATGGGGATTTGAAAACAAAGCCAATTCAGATTTCCCGCTTGACGTGAAGTAACAACATCACCTGACAGAAACAGGCAAACCCAGCAGAGAAGAGCACATTGTCCTAATGTCAGATTGCACCCAGCTGGCCCTTACCCACTGTGAGGTTGGTGACCAGCTGCGGCGGCAGGTCTGTGGTAACAAGGCGATGTCGCAGGATCTGGTTAAGCTGGTTCAGGGTGCTCTGCTTCTCCTGCTTGGTGATGGGATCTGGTGGGATGATCTTTTCCTGCAGTCATTACACACAAAGCCTTAAAATCAGGTACCTGGTGCAAACACTTTTGAATAAATGCAGAAAAAATCTCATCAGCAAATAAAAACAATACTAGCATAAATATATGTATATGTGTGACACTATCCTAAGACTCAAAGCAACAGTACTGTTGAATTTTTGGATCAGATCTATAATTAGGTACAGAAATGTTTCTCTCTCAATGAAACTAACTTAGAACTTATTAGAACTATGATTGCAGCATCCATCATTCCCTAAACATCAGTAGACATTTGTATTGGATCATTTTGACAACTCGTCCAGACACTAAGGCGGCAGCAGGGCGCTGACCCTGATGCAGATGGGGAGGCGGGGGTAAGAGCCTGTGGTCAGCACGTCGACCGCGAAGGGGATGGCGAAGCTCGGCAGGCGGGCATGGATGAGGGCGTCCCGTGCCAGCGATGCCAGCCGGTCTGCTGTGTCGACAAACAGGAAGGCCTGCTGGTCCAGGAAGTTGGATATCATCTGTTCCAAAAAATAAGCCCATTAGTCAACAATACAAGGTAACACAGGGGCCAGAAATCATTTTCTACACTTTCCATTCCATTTATCAACTGAGACAACTACTTCTCCTAAAATTATTTACTGTTCTACAAAGCAAAATGATTAAAATGAACACGCAGGTGTCCATCGCAGTAAAAGCAAAGTTTAATTTCAGGTGCCCAGCGAGGGGACGGGCACTGCCACATACCGCACATTTCTCCACCTTCCCGGCATTGCTGGCCCACTTCACCAGGGCCAGCAGCCGCACAAACAGCTGGCGGGTGCGGCTGGCAAACTGCACAATCTCGATTTTCCTGCCATAATTAAAGTCACGACACCAGAGGGAAAACAAGCACATTACACAGCACATGATCAATCCACATTCCCACCGGGTGATGATGACCACTGCCACCTGTATTTCCCCAGTAACAAAACCGTGCAACTCAGAAAATCTTACCTTTCCATGTCTGTCTTTCGGGGGAGTCTGTGGGACAAAATAATAGAGACTGTCAGTAGAATTATTTTCCAGAACACAGCAAGTTAGAACAACAAACAAAATTGAGATACTACAAGTAATCAACTCAGCGAAGAAAGGGGAATGACTCTCCCTAAATACTAGGGGCAGCACTAGATCCATGAAGCACTAAATAGCTTTTTAAATGTGTGATTTATAAAGATGAAGTAATGGGAGCCAGACAAAACCACGCAGAATAAACTTCACAGTACTGACCTGCACCTAGAGGCAATATGCTCATTGTACTAACAGAATCACTCACTTGCATAATTCACATTTTAACAGTAATTTTCAAACATTTCAAACTGTGGATGGAATGATCATTCAACTAAATAAAGTATATTTCACACATAATCACATATTTACCACATGGACCATTCTATACTTATGAATTTCATGCGTATTTATGAATATGCACACATAAGAAATAAGAATAAGCATATCTAAGGAGACGCGAGTTCGTTTCAGCACAACTTCATTCGAATTGAAAGTCAGGGAATACTATCTTTTGCAAGGTTTTGCACACATAAAGGTTGGGTGGTTGTAAGCAGCAATACCACACCTGCTGCTTACTTCTATTTAACAGGACAGGACAGGACAGGACAGGACAGTACAGTACAGTACAGTACAGTACAGTACAGTACAGTACAAGACTGGAAGCCACACACAGCTGGGTTTTACTCACAGCTCAGCCAGCAGCGTGATCTCATGGTAAGTTCGTTGCAGCAGGAACTCAATCAGCAAGCTGAGCCGAACCCCGTGAGTCGCCGGAGCCCCCGGAACAGGAACCTGGGGCGCCGAAGTTGGACCCCCGACCGGGACCAGTTGGCCATCTGAACCAATCTGTACCGGAGCCATTTTAAAAGTCAAGAGAACCTAGAGCCCCGGACTAGACAGCTGCGGGATAGAAATGGAGGATGAAAAGGGAAAGTCGAAGACCCAAGTCGCTCTAGACAAAAGCTAAGCTGTTTACACTACGCCTTGGGTCTTTTAGCTCGGTACTGGCGTCTTCTCTCCATCGGAAAGCTGACATAAACACGTTGATAGAAATGAATTCCGCTCAATGCTTCCGTACCGCCATCACTTTCGCCCACCGGAAGTGATTACAAATTCAAGGCCCCGGATACGGAAATTCTAGTTTGCCCCTCCCCTCCACAAGCGACAACCAATCACAACCTTGACCAGCGCCTCTAACCATTGTTTTGACATTTGATAAGTTTTTCCCCTCCGTGTTTTACGCATATACTGTACATAAGGATGTATTTATAATACACAGAAGTCTCTTAGATATCTAAATCTGGATATCTAAATATAAATTCGGACATTTAAATGATGAGCATGTCCTTTTATTTTATTGTTATGATCATTTAGGGGAAGTACGCTGTCTCGGTGGTAGTGCTAATAGTTACCAACAAAGTTTGAAAGCGGTTCCAGCGGGAGCGCTTTGCTGTCTGGCAGTCTGGTTTCCTCGCGCAGTGTGGGTGACATGCCGTCTTGGTAAATTGATAACATATTAACGTGTACGTAATGCATTTTTAGTTCTGCGAATCTTTCGTGTTTTGTATCTCATCTAGCTAGTTCATACTAATTGTTTTATGGTTAATGTATATATCTCTTAATGCATAAATTCCCGATGGATATTGCTTGTTTAACTTTAACATAGATCAATTAATTTAATATTAATTAGTTCATTTAATATTAATCAATATAAAAACCCGGAACATCCCAACGCTTCTCTTGTAAAGACAGCACGTGTTTTGTAATAATTTACACAATTGTATAGTGATGTACCGATTTGCAAAATTTGCCCAATACCGTTAGTTTTTGTCTAATTTAACAAATATCCCAATATACCGATATAGCCTAGCTGTTAACCAATATATCGTGCATCTCTAAAAATTGATGCTGCCAATACTGACCTTTAAGAAAATATAATGAATATATTGTTAAAAAAAAAAAAAATTCAGGCATGCTCTCATGGTGAGATGTCAGTTCTCCAAGCCCGGCAGTAGAATTTAAACTCTTGTTCACTCTTGTGTTAGACTGCTACTTTCCGTGCTACTTATCTGTATAATTTAAAAATCGTCTTATCAAAAGGCAATTAATTGCTGGATATTCTTATAATTAACACACAAAGATGATAATCAGCGAATCCTAAGTGATGCACACAGTCTCAGAGGACTTCTGTCTGGGCGGGGTTATTCCCACCCCGATATCCTGCCACTAAACAGGTCGCTCTGTGAGTCAACAGTCGTTTTCCACTCTGCATCCAGTCCTCAATCAGACTTCTGAATCTGAATGGTAACCACACGCTAGACTGCACCCTTCCCCGAGAATCTACAGTCATATCACAAGCCTAATCAATATTGTAGTTCAGCATATGCTCAATCTTCCCTTCAGATTTCAAAGTAAAATCAATAATCCAATATCTCATCAAAGGTGCTGGGAATGTAGTTTTTTGGGTACCTCTATTTCTGGAATTAGAAAATGGCAAGTATTGAGACAGACTTACATAACAGATGTTGTGGGATCTAATGCTATTTCTAGCTGCATGGTGTCAGTCAAACTTTAACAGCAGTTTATTTGGTCCATTTTACATTAACTTACACAGTTCTTACAGATTCTTATGGTTACATTTTTCTCTCTTCTTATTTTCAACTCCTGCTGTCATCAATTCACCCTTCATGGTTTACTGGGGGATACTTTCAAAGTATCCACTGTGTTTAAAACAGCAATTCTTCAAATGCATGTATTGCCTTTCTTTTTGATAGAAGTAATTTCAAATATACGTTAAACAATTAGATTTTAGTTAATGGCTATTTTCACTCAAACTGGAAAGCAATCTCATAAATTCTTCTGCAACTCCAGTAATACTATATTCTACCTTCACTGGTGTCTCTAAAAAAAGATCATGTACTGCTTCTATCTATTTAATTGGGTAAAATATACCTTTTGGGATCATGAAGCTGTAATTATAAAATCCCACTGTAAACAACAAACAACTACTGTCCATCACTACAAAAACTACCAGAATGTCTCATTTTGAATAACCTGAAATTTTTACATTCTGGTTGTATGTTTTGAAACATCAAACATATAAAATCTATTCAGATTTGGGAAAAAAAATATCCATCCATCCATTTTCCAACCCGCTTATCCTAATGGGTCGCGGGGGGTCCGGAGCCTATACCGGAAGCAATGGGCACGAGACAGGAAACAACCCTGGATGGGGGACCAGCTCATCGCAGGACACACTCACACACTCACACATGCACACCTATGGGCAATTTAGGAACTCCAAGCAGCCTCAGCATGTCTTTGGACTGTGGGGGGAAACCGGAGTACCCGGAGGAAACCCCACGATGACACGGGGAGAACATGCAAACTCCACACACATGTAACCCAGGCAGAAACTCGAACCCAGGCCCCAGAGGTATGAGGCAACAGTGCTAACCACTGCACCACCATGCTGCCCCATGGAAAAAAAAATATTTTTGTTATAATTCTGTTTGTTTAATAACTGTCTGGCATTGTCTGGACACAGAGGTATCAGCTACAACCCCCAAACATTCAGAGAAATTGCTCAGCCCCCAACCAGCTCCCTGGCTCGGCGAGGCACATTGAACTTGAACTGTAACCGTATGAGATCACTATCATCCGGGTCTCTTAACGCCACTGACGTGATCGTCCGGCCATAGATATAGATTTTCATCGGCGCCTAGAGGAGCTGCTGGGATCTTTGATTAGTTTACATTCATGACCACATGTACACAGGGCCACCAAGAAGAGCCAAAATGGCTTCTATTTCATAACACCCGTGACGACAGGAGGAGGTGCGAGAGGTTTACTGAGGAGTTCTTGTGTCGGGATGAATCGACAGACTTGTCCTGATTGAAGTTATTCTGAAAGATACTTGGCCTCTTGCAGCCGGTTAGGTTTTTGCGTCGTACACAGCAAATCGACGCAGATTAACAGCCAGATCGTTCAGTGAAGTGCTTGCAAGCGCCGCCGCCATATTGAAGCGAAGTGACTGACTGGGACTGAACTGACAAGCGGTCGGACCAGAAAAAGAGGGGGGGCTGCCGCTGCTGGTGACGCAGGAAAAACACCCAAGAGCAGACAAAAAAAAAAACCAAGGAAGCAAGACCATCATCACAGGCAGATTACATGCAAGAAAAGCGCTCACATAAGGCACGCTGATGAGACTGGTCGCGACCCGAGTGAATCCCATAGGCTCCGGGGTGCCCGTCAGAGAGCCCAAGCGAAGGCTTTCCCATTCCTGGTAAGCGGCTAGCCTGGCGGCGCGGCCGTATCCCTTTGTTACAATTGCATCGTCTGGATCCACTGGTCCTGGTAAATATCTTTAAAGGATCTCCGGCGGCCGGGGGACATCAAGGGGTACCTATTATCCCGGGATGCAGGCTGACAAAGCCCGCGGCGGGGGGTGGGTGCCGAGCGTGTTTGTGCGGAAAGCCGGTCCGCTGTGTTTTCACCGTGAGGGAGGAAAATGGCCGCCGGCTCCCTGTCTCTGGCTAGCGCGGAGTAAATGGTGAAACGCTAGTGATTTTTTTTGTTGCATGTAAATGTTATGAAGCGGATTCTGGGGGAGGTAGCGGGGACGGGGGCCGGCCGTGAGCCGCGCGGGTGACGCGAGCGGCCGGGGAGCAGGCGCCTGGCTTCGGAGCGGAGCGCCATTTCCGAGGCGGAGTGACGGCGGAAAGCGGCCCTGTCTCGGTAGGCCCCGATCGGGCGACGCCTGCACACCAGGCCCTGGTTATTCAGCGCTAAATGTACTTCTGGGTGAAGATCATCTTGGTTTCCGATTAATGGAGTCTGCTTTTTCACGTTTCCTATCTTAATAACAGACGTGGCTTTTAGAAAACAAACCCTGCAGGAGTTTCTTTTGCTTTTCGTAGACGTTTTACACATTTACTTGGAGAATTCGGTTGATAAATGCAGTTAACGATCACATCACTTTAGAAATAACCCTGAAAAGGTGACTGGTTTCTGCCGAAGTATGTACGTATTTAATACGGTGGATGTTGTGTGTTCAGTGTTATTTCCTCGGGAATGTCGCCGACATCAGGGGCGGATCTTCCCGTCTATTCTAAGTGTGTGTTGTATTGACAGCGGAGCCGGTTCTGTATTTTTCTCTAAAAGCGGATTACCCGGTACCGGGACCCACCCACCGCAATGCCCCACGCACGTCCGCCTTCGGCCCAGTCAAATCCCACGGTTAGTTGGGTCTTCAGTCCGACATACTTTACCTTCCATGGTGGACTAACTTTGTGTTTTACTAGGCGACTGGATCATCATTGTTACTTATATTTTTCTATTTGTAAATGTGGGATAATTCGGCATTGTTTCCTAGACAGCCCATCTGTTGTTTTCATTATGTTTCACCTCGGCCTCCCATAATTCCTCCCGCCGCCTGAAGCCAACCTGTGTGCCATCAGCTGAAGGCCGTGGAGGCTCAGCATTTCGCCTGGGCAGTGCCATACTAGATGGTTCTGTCTTATTCAGTAAGGAGGACGCTCACGGTGCAATCAGAATAAACTTTGTAATGAATCAGTTCATCAGAAATATTTGTCAGTGATGCCACTTACTATAATTTGTAATATGTTTAGCGGTGTTTTGCATGGACTTTTCTGCTATTTGAAACGACAGATGTTATTTTACCTTGAGCGTGTGCTATGTTAGGGAAAACGTGAACAGGAAGCCTGTAATGTCACTGATCTCCATTAAGTAAATTGGAATTGGTTTTATTAATGCAAAATAAACCGCATGGAAATGTTCATTTAAACACAAACCCGTCTGAATTTTTTTTATTTAAAAAAAAATGCCCCATCCGTACATCACATTAGGAAAAATTCCTTAATATTGATACAGTTTATGGCTGCTTATGCATGATGATTGGATCTGATTTCAAGTTTTGTAGCAGGTGTCTTGTATGGGAAGTAAATACATGACCTGCCTATAAATGAACACAGTGCAACTATAGCCTAAAATATTTTATGTCATGTAAACATTTAATCGATGAAAAGCGCAAAATTGTGCCTTTGTGTTTGTGCATGCAATGTTCTTTCAGAAGCCTGTACTAAAATCACAGTTTAAAAATGTATTTCTGCAAAACATCCCTTAGCTGAGAACTGAGGCAGCATTTGACGTGGAATATTTGCTTTTGGATGCCATGGAAATCATAGTGTTTATGGTCCTTGCATGTTTGGACATTCTCCAATCAGAGCTGCGCAGGTGACTGCGTGAATAATGTTCTCTGAACTAGTGGCAGTTTCTTTGGGAGTGTTTTGACAGAGTATTAGTGGAAGAAAATCAAAGGGCTCCCCCCCCCCCGTTACCTGTCAGCCTTCAATTGAATGGTGTTGTCTTGAAGTTACAAAACCTACTTTATTGTTTGGCTTTTTAAATATATTTATGCATGTAAATAAGAAGCTGCACTGTTAAATTAAAAATTTAAGATCTTTTAAATTGCGGCCATTAACTGTGACTATGCTAATAATGAGCGTGTTTCTGTTGCTTGGAGAGAATGGCTTCAGCAGTCTAACTCCTTAATAGGGAAAGTGGTTCATTGCTTTAGAAGTTGGTTCTGTTGCAAATACATCTCCAGTGGAAAGTGGAAAAAGGTACTGTCTTCCAAATAACTGTTTCCAGTAGGAGAATGATTAGATATTTGTATGTAGACATACATACAAAGACATAGGAGTCAGATGAAGCTCCCTGTTGACTTGACACTAGATGTGCCCCTACACTTGGCCCATTCAGGGGCTGTAGGCGGCCACACGCCCCCAGACACACCAACATCAGGATGTCGCTTAGTTTCGCTACCTCCTGAAGTTCATGCAAATGTCTTGAAGGCTGCTTCCCTTCATGATATCGCCCAGGCAGATCTGATATCTGTGTTGTGTGGCTGAATGTTCACATCAGAAAAATAGCTATGTAGTATTTTTACCATATTCCTTCTAATGTTTGTGAGCTTGTTAACTTTCTGGCAATGGTAAAATCAGTTTGTGGTGTGTGTTTGTATGTGTGCATATGCACAGGGATGCACATAACTGGTATACAAGTATGCATCTGGCATATGAAGTAAGGCAAAAGTCTTAGGCAGTCAACGAAAATGTCTAAATGATCTTTAGGTTCCTGTCTTAGGGTTTTAGCTGAGCCACAACCGTCCGATACTCCTGTGCATTTTTTCACTTAACCACTAGCACAGCATATTTGGCTAATTAATACCTCATTGATTGATTTATATAATGAAATGAATGAAGTGATCTGGAGGTGCCCCTGAAGAGCAGTTGGGGAGCTGTAGCAGTGTTCCTGCAGTCACAAGACAGGGGTGCACTCTGGACGGGGTGACAGTCCTTCACAGAGCAGATACATTCACACAGATGCTATGGGCAGATTGGATAGCCCAGTTAACATAGATACATGTCTTTGGACCACTAGAGGAGCCTGTGCTATACAGGGACAGCATGCAACTATGGAACAAACAGAGCGGGGAGGGGGATTCGAACCTCTCACCCCTGGAGGTGTGAGGGAGCAGTACTGCTACTGAGCCACTTGTGACAGCTGTCACTTGTTTGGTTTCATACTGTTTTGATTAATATAAGCAATGTGTAGAGTAACAGTTTTATCATGTATCAGCTTGAAACAAAGTATTCATTAAAGGATAGTTATATATCAGTAGGATTGGAATCTGTGCCCCTGTCCAGAAGGTTGTGGCTTCAAATCTCATGAGCAGCAGAGTGGTATGATCACTGTTGGGCCCTTGAACAAAGCTGTTTACCCGCCTGTTCCTGGGCTGTCGGATGCTGGGTGATCCCGCTCTCTGGCACCAAGCTGCCTTTTGCTGTATGTCACTTTGGACCAAAGCATCTGATAATAAATACATGAATGTTGTTTATCAGCTAAGGACATTCAGAGCCTCTTTGATGCGTGATGTCATTTGTAAGGTGTCCTCCTGTAAGACAAAGTAAAGTTGCGCTTCCATTGTCAGTCTTTTGACCTACTTGCAAAACTTTCTGAATGTTACCAAGAAGTGGAAACTGCATTTTGGAGTTCAAGGCACAGCAATGTAATGCTGTTTAAGTGGCTTTGTCCCTTATTTCAGTGTTACTAATTGCTTTTTTGTTTTTTATTCAGATGGTTTTTCAGTCTAGTTTTTAGTGTTTTAGGAATTTTTTTATTCTTTATAACATCAGAGTGAAAGTGTGCTGACAATATGGCCGCCAAAACAGATGTGAGTCTGAGCGTGTGCAGACATTTTGATTTGCTGGCTTTCTGCATTCTACGGGACACCCCCATCTCCTAAAATGACCCATCTTACACACATGCCCCCGTCAGATTCCCGTCCGATCCTCCTGCAACAGGCAAGGTTGTTTAGCATGTTTTCCATCAGCCTTAATTTTGTGCACATGTGCAGTGGCTCCCTCTGCATGCTGCCTTTTATCTTTCCAAGGCTTTTGCCATCTCTTCTTTATGACAGTGCTACCGAATTCTAGTATTTCTGGTTGATAAGCAATAACCCCCCCCCCCCCCCTTTCAGGGTTATATATCCTTTTCAGGGTTATTTATAAAGTGATTGTTTAATATATGTAAAAGCGCCATTATTTAGAGAGAACCACATTCCCATGGAACGTGAGGGAAAACAGGGAACACATCTGGAGTCGTGCTTCTTGAGAGTAAATGGTTGCCGCTTCTCTGATTTAATTTGGGTGTCATTTACGCCCAGTAAGTGTCCCCCTGGCCTGCGGTGCCCTGGGAGACACCTACTGAACATCAGCTACTGAATGGAGGACGTTGGCACAGCTGTAGCTAATGCCCGCCTTGTGGCCGACTGAAGCTGACAGCAGACGTACCTTTGGACTAATTCCTGAGTGATGAGTTAATTTCAGGTGATCTATAAATTGTGCTTAGTCTGTCGCTCGTTTTTCTGTTAAAGAATAAAAAAGAAAACCACAGTATGATGTTCCAAGTGATTGTCGCTTTTATGGTATGGTCAGAAAATATTACAGAATACATTCATCCAAAATATAAATGGTCTTCCTTCCGGTAAATTAGAAGCCTTCTGGTAAATGTTAAGTCAGGCATAAAGACAGGATGAGTACCTCCACCCAACCTGAAAAGTTTCATTTTGTTCTGATAACTGGTCGGGATAATTATGAAAACAGGAAAACCTTGTCTCTGCCCCTGGCAGTCCTCGTTTGTCTATGAGTTCATTATTTATTTCTGTACATAGCCGTTGCTTTAATCTTTTTAAAGCAATATTTTTAGAATTTAAGGTTGACGGGTGAAGAAAAATCCCCCCGCCCCCTCTAGGGTCTGGACATCTGAAACAACCTGCTATAATTATATCTGCAGCAGAGCTCCTGGAGCCGTAGGCGAGCTGAGTGGTCGGTGCGCTCCTGCGCTCTCTCAACCGTCTGCACAGCTGTAGATGAAAGATTAGAAGTAGAGTTTGTCACACCTGGGGCTTATTTTTGGGTGAGTTGCTTTTCCGGGGCATGTATGACAATCAGAACTTCCGAAGATGCAAAAACGAAATGTTAGTTTTGATGAGAGAGCAGGTGATGAGATTTTTTGGCTTTGTGCCTCTGCGTGAAATGGTTTAAGTCTTCGATACTGATAAACATTTAACTGATTCATGAGTTCCATGTTTATTTGTTAGTTAATCTTAAACCGTGTCGGCCCTGGAAAATGCTATAGGCTTCCTCTCTCTCTCTCTCTTATATGTGAAACAAATTTAAAAATAATTACATGGTTATTTTATTATGAGCACCTTTTGTTGACATGTTTATTGGGTGATTTTGGCACTCAAACCTCAATGTAATGGAGTACTACTCAGCTACTGTAATTGAAATACTGCTTTAAAAATAATTTCCAATCTGCTTGACAGGAATCCCTGCTGATTTAAATTTTTTTATATTTACCCCTAAATGCTTTAAAGAAATCGATGTTGCTTTCAGTTTCCCACATTCATTGGTGATTAGTTTGCTTGTGCATAATTATCACGTTGCTTGCTGTGTTCCCCAGCCTACGGGAATAGATGTGGTTTTAGCACGACTGCCATCGGCACTTTGGTGTGCGAGCCAATAACTGCTTGATGGATCTTTTTCAAGCTTTGCGCAGGCATTGTATAGGTGAGGAGCTAAAGCTGATAACGTTTTGAGAGGGTTGCCCCAAAATGGAAGCATTTGATACCATAAGGACCATAAATCAGTAACTGTGTGATGGATCTTTTTCAAACTTTGCAGAGGCTTTGTGGGGGGCTTGGAATGGACATTAGTAAAGTTTTCGCCCCATATTGAAAAATAAAATGTTAAAGGATAACTTGGTATTGTATCAACAGTCCCCCTGTAGCTCACCAGATAGAGGTGCGCTAAGACTCAAGAGCTTGGGCTTTCAAATCCCTCAAAGCACACACATTGTACCATTTCCGTCTATTGTAAGCCTTTTAGGATAAAGGTGTCAGTTAAATATTAATGAGTTACATGTACATCATGTGCACGAAAATAAAATGTTCATGCCCCCCCCCCCCTATATACAAGTGGTATTAAAACAGTTTTTTAACTGAGCAGCTTTCCACTGTGCTGATCATAACCTTGAGGTGTATCAGTACGAGGTGCCTGTCTGTCTTACACATTTTAATTATTTTCATTTGTTAGCATCATATAATGTGTACAGGCATGTGTGTTCACAGTATTTTTAATATTTCTGAAGGTTGTAATTTCAAAATAGATCTGCCCCCAGCTCACCCCCCCGTTATGAAGTCATGTTATTTTCTCTCACCTGTGCCCCCCTGCAATTCCTTCACACCCCACAGGTTGAATTACCTCTGGTATATAACCTACTATTACAGCTTTTACTTCTATGTCACAGAAAATTTTGGTCGTAGTGCAAAAGACCTAAATTAAATATTGATATTTAAACGTAAATGTCATTTTCAAATGTAGCCATTAAAACATACGTAGAGGAATACCTAATCGGTGGGGAAAGATTCTGTAAATTTTCATACAAGTGGAATGTGTAATGAATAAGTACTTTCAGACATACACATCACGGCAAGGACTTGCAGCAGTCAGGTAAAAACACATTAACTTTCGCATTTCCGGGTGATCTGTCCAATGCTTTTAGAAATGGTACAAGTTGGTGATTGGGACGCGGCTTAGATGGACCAAATGACAGAGCTGTTGGGGAATACGATGCTGTCATTTCCGATGGCACCAGATTCCGCTCGTGATTCACTTCAGCCAGAAATACTGTGGGCTAGTAACGTGTAGCTTCCTCTGCTCCTCTGTCAGCCGTCGCTCCCCAAACAAACGCGCAAAGTCCGCCTCACGGCCATGCTGCTCATTTGAACGTGTATTAGCAGGAATGCTCGCCGTGACGCTCGCCGCGACGCCCACTGTTCGGTTCTCATCAGTGCGCCACCACTGTTTCATTTGGACAATTTAGATAATTACAAATTTATAGTAAGAGTATTTTTTCTAATAATTGCCAACCTGCTGTTAATATCAAACTCATGGCTCATAACTTGGTTAAAAAAAGACACCCATGTACTTTGCTGATATATATATATATTTTTTTACTCCTTTTATGGTACCTGAAGGTATCAGTTTAGATAAACATTTAAGTTGGGGGGGTTTATATTTGCTGAGGTGCTACGTCGTGTTAAAGGTTTGCGAACCACTGCATGAGACGGTCTGTGACGTATTTTAAATCATAATTAGATCCAGCCCACAAATCGATCATTTTCCACAGAGATTAAAAAGTGATGATCAGCACCACTATCATCCCCCAATCAGAGTTTTACATCAGTTTGGTTTTTGTCTTTTGACCTTCAAGTACTTCAGCACCACAGACATTTTGTGGTCCAGTTTGTTTAGCTTCTTCACTATATCGCTGATCCGCCAGCACGCGCTGTATTGGTTATAAGGCTTGGCGCGTTGTTATGGGGGCGAGTGCATGAGCTCGGCGTTGGTCCCAGTTCTGATTGTAGTATCTGTATTGATTCGCCAGTATATATTAGCTTAACTGCTATGAACTGCTTATGTTGCTTTAACCTGAATCACTTAGTTTTTTTGGCTCATTGAATATTCCTGTATAATCTTTTTCCTTTCATTTTCATATTGTATATACCTGATGATATTCTGCATGTCTGTAAGAACTGTAAGTTTTGCCTTAACTCTGGAGTGAAAGTCGCACTGCTTGTAAGCTTAAGTGCTGTGGGAGTTGTGTATAGCAGGGTGGGGTTACCTTCGAACCCGGGTTCCATAACGGAGCGCCTCTCCCTGCCTGCCCCGGCCCAGCTGCACTTTAAGCCCCACCCTCCGCCTCAGCAGTTCAGCCCTTTCTGTTGCCCTCTCACCCTGCAGGTTGTGCGATGGTCTCTGCAGGTCGTCCTGAGCTTCACCTGCCGCTCTCCCCCTCGGACCTGCGCCCCTTCTCTGACCTTCTACAGGAGGCAGGAATTTCTTCTCTCGCCGCCACGACATAAGCAGACAAAATTGCAAAGATCTGCCCTGTGTCGAGTATGACGGCCACGACCCGTGGCTCTCCTGTGGGGGGCAACGATAACCAGGGCCAGGCTCCCGATGGCCAATCACAGGCCCCACTGCCCCAGCACCAGGTGAGCGCCCCCTATTGCCTGTCTTTGTAACCCTCTCGGTGTGGGTACAGCATTGGTCATAGAATGCATCTGAGTGAGGGGGTGGGGGGCGCATTCACTGAAGCAGACATATGATTACAGACCACTTACTGAGACACACAGAGAACACCCCCACACATCTGCACACAGCCACAGTGACCCCCTGACCTGACACTGGCGTCCCTAAACGTAGATGTGGTTTGCCTCACCTAAAAAACACACTTTTGTTTTTAAAAAAAGCAAGGATATAATTCAGATGTTTATTAGTTTTACTACTTTGCGTTAAACTACTTGTACGTTGTTTTTGTGATTGTTCGTCAGTTCATACTGAACAATGTTCCAATAGGTTCCCGGTCGTGCCCCCCCTTCCATGGGTCTAAGCCAAAACTGCAGATTCTTTCTCATTGCCAAAACCTTACATGTGGGATTTTATTTATTAAAAATTTGTTCTCTAGCAGAACATCAATTTTTGTGGTGGCCTTGTTCCAGAGTGGACAAGGGAAAAGCATTGATTTTGCTTATACACTTGTCACTTAACACTTAACATAATAGCTTATTGCTTAGTTTCATTGTTGATGGGGATGGGTTCTTTCAGTTTGCGTTTAACACCACCGTCCTGTGACTGACAGGCCCAAATTGTCAAATTTAATATGCTTGAGATGCCTTTATCAAAGCTGATAGCTCTAGGAGACCTATGTAATACCTAATTTTCATACCATCATACCATTTGGACATTATACTGCAGTAAACAGATTGTCTCTGACTTGCAACCACTGACATACATGATTTGAAGTTTTTTTTTTTTTTTTCCCCCCCCCGCAATTAACCAAATGTATGTAAAAATGCCTGCCAGCCCTTCACTGCAAAGGGCATGCAGCGTGCTTTATGGTAGTTACTGCGGGAAAGTACTATATGCCTGCCAGCCCTACACTGCAAAGTGCATGCTGGGTGCTTTACGGTAGTTACTGCGGGAAAGTACTATATGCCTGGCAGCCATACACTGCAAAGTGCATGCTGGGTGCTTTATGGTAGTTACTGCGGGAAAGTACTATATGCCTGGCAGCCCTACACTGCAAAGTGCTTCCTGCCTGCTTTACGGTAATTACTGTGGGAAAGTACTATATGCCTGGCAGCNTGCTTTACGGTAATTACTGTGGGAAAGTACTATATGCCTGGCAGCCCTACACTGCAAAGTGCATGCTGGGTGCTTTACGGTAGTTACCGCGGGAAAGTACTGTACTGTATAGCAGTGTGACTATCCCAGCCTCAGACGCAACTCCCAGTGTGATTCTCACACCTGAAAGTCTGATTATCTTATTTCGACATGCATCCACCTCCACGTACGTTTGTTGGAACACAACCTCATCGGGGACAGTCTGCACAGGGTATTGACAATATTTTCAAAATCACCACTATTCCCCACAATGAAATTCTTGTAATTAAGATTTCTAAATGCCGTGGTATAGCATCTAACCGTAATACTACCCAGGCGTCAGGTGGTAGGTATCAGACTTGACCATCAAGTGGATTAGGTATAGACATTGACTACATTGTTTCGTTGCCTGCTTGTGGTGAATGAGTGGCTTTAGGACTTTGTCACCTAAAAGATTCAGCTGAATTTGAGATGGTGTGGCGTGCTGCTTAGCCGGCGCTTGTGCGTGCCAGTGAAACAGGGCGTGCTCAGCTTCCAGTGTAAACACACTCTGGGTTAACGGCCGCGTTAATGACCCAAGCTCTCTGTTTCACTGGCTGGCACTAAGGTGTAAATTTTGTCCGGGTGGGGGTGTACTTCCTCTCTCACTCGCTGTGAAGTAGCAGCATTTTTAAGGTTGGGGAGGGAGAGACTACAGAGAGGAGTGTAACCTTAGCTTACTCCGGGGTTAGTCCATCCTCACGCAGGGAGCTTCAGGATCAGTGTCCCACCTGACTGCTGTGGTATGTTTCAGATGTTTGTAATGCACTGCGTGTTTTTATTTATCTCACGGTGCTTCATCATTGCCCCAGTTGCATAAATTTTACCTGTGATCAAACTGAGAGGCTGGCTGGGCTCCGAGCTCCCCATGCGAAGTGGCCGCACTGGGCCGCACTGGGCCGCACTGGGCCGCACTGGGCCGCACTGGGCCGCACTGGGCCACATGGCTCGTCATTCTGCTTCTTTGAAAATATGGCGATGTTGGGGGGTTTTGCCTAAAACCAATAATTGAGTTTTATTTTTTCCTTATTGGGTTTTCGAGTGACATCATGCACGGCTCCTATACTTTGAGGAATTTAACTTCCATCGAATGTAACATTAAAAACGGTAATGAGGTTCCGGTCATCTTGAACTGTACAGGAACGTCGGTCTGAAACCATGTTTGAGTTCTGCTCCGTCGCTCTTCTTGATGACGTAAGCCTTTGCTGACACCAGGTAGCACCTCCATGTGCTCGCGCCCCCCCTCCCAGAACATTCTGGTTAATGGGAGCTGCTTGATGGATCATTTTGCAAGCAGCTGCTTTTATCGTAGTGTGTTAAAATGACTGTAAATTTTTGATGAGGGTGTCTCTTAAATGCATTGACGCTTTTTTAAGAAAATCATCTGCGTTGTCTTGTAATTTTTTACAGCCTAATTAGCAGCTCTTCTCACGGCTTATTTATTCAGAACGATCACATCACTTCTTGAACACAGAATGTATTTTCAAGCTTTCTGTCATTTAAATGCCTGAGAATCAAAATGCTGCGATAATTTTGTTAGTTTCCACCCTGCCGTGTCTGGGTGCATCTCTAAACAGTCAAATTGTATTCGAGGTACAGGTACAGGTCGCTGTACATGCATGTAGTCTGGCATAATGAACAAGCGATATGCTGCCGATCACCAGTATGCTCTCTGGTGAATTAATTGGGCCCAAACCTCATGCCCATGTGAGTGTATCTGGCTGTGTCCCACACGGATGGTGATGGTATCTGCTGGTGCGCAGAGTGAGGAAGTGGCGCACCTCCTGGCTCCCGTCCACCAGCATGCACCGTGTTTTCCAGACGTCCTCTCCCACCTCCTCGAACGAGAACTCCCCGGTGAGCCCTCCGGACGAACCAGGTCAGGGAGATGGTGCCCCGCAGCTGGAGGACGAGGAGCCTGCCTTCCCCCACACGGACCTCGCCAAGCTGGATGACATGATCAACCGGTGAGGCCCGGCCCCCCTCCCCCGGCCACCCGTCCCCGGCCTCAGCCCCAAAGGACAGGCTGAGTGCTTCTCCATGGTCATCACTGCTTTCCTCTGTTTGCAGACCCCGCTGGGTGGTCCCGGTTCTGCCAAAGGGTGAATTAGAAGTTCTTCTTGAAGCTGCTATAGATCTTTGTAAAAAAGGTGAGCTGCCGGCGTGCCCCAGACATCCAGAATTTATTCATATTTCATGTACTGGAAATGAGTTCTGATGGAGTAAATCGGCAGCTCTTAGTCCAGGAGTATCCCCTGGATGGGGGTGCAGATGGGGGGTGGGGCGTCCCACAGATGGGGGGCGGGGCGTCCCGCTGGCTGCCCGCTCTCTGGGTGGTACCCAGGCGTGTTGGCTTCTATCGGCTCGTCCACTTTAAGGCGTCAAGCTGCTCTCCTGACCAGCTTGGCACAAGCAGACCTGCGTCCTGATTAAAGGGCCAGGCAGCCTCTGTCTGTCGGTGGTGCCCGGCTGCCTCTCGCTTTCCCTTTAGAGGCCGGGCAGCCTCTGTCTGTCGGTGGTGCCCGGCTGCCTCTCGCTTTCCCTTTAGAGGCCGGGCAGCCTCTGTCTGTCGGTGGTGCCCGGCTGCCTCTCGCTTTCCCTTTAGAGGCCGGGCAGCCTCTGGCGGTTCGTCTCCTGCGTTTCAGCCTCTCGCCCATGCTTGTCCGGGGTCCCCTCCTCCTTCACGTCTGTTTTCTTAGGACTTGACGTCAAGTGTGAAGCATGCCAGAGGTTTTTCCGAGATGGATTGACGATTTCCTTTACAAAAATCCTGACCGACGAGGCAGTCAGTGGCTGGAAGTTCGAGATCCATGTGAGTCCTGTCTGGGGGTGGAGGCACCTGGGGTACTATTAATTGACATCTTCTCATTGGCTGTCTTACTCTGAGGGGAGGGGTTCTGCATTCCTACTCTTGTGCACTTTATTGCTTGATGTCACACCCCCCACAGAGATGTATCATCAACAACACTCACCGCTTGGTGGAGCTGTGTGTGGCCAAGCTCTCTCAGGACTGGTTCCCTCTGCTCGAGCTGTTGGCTATGGCCGTCAACCCCCACTGCAAGTTCCACATCTACAACGGCACACGGCCCTCCGAGACCGTGCCAGCGGGGGTCCAGCTGGCCGAGGACGAGCTCTTCGCCCGGCCGCCCGACCCGCGCTCTCCCAAGGTCAGCAGGACTCCATCCAGAGCACCTGACATCTTCTCAAATTTAACAGCTGAGGGTGTCGTGGCCATGGGTTACGCAAGGCTCTGTGTCTTAAGGACTGCAGCCCATCTTAACAGTGCATGCGTGCAGATTGGTTGTTTTAAGGTTAAGTATTGCAGTTTTGCACAAGGACACCCGCCTACGGGGACACTTTGACTGGACTAGGTGATCTTCTGGGTGTACATTAAAGGGCTTTATCACTTAGAGCTGCATGTGGTGTCAGAAACGAAGCCAGGCAGCTCTGTATCATCAGGCGAAGCGTAATTTTCAGTGACTCGAATGTGACGGATCGGCAGAGCATTTCAGGAGATATGGGGAACCTCTGCTGCGATGACGGCCACAGACGCCTGTGGAATCATCCTGGGAACCAGTCAGCCAGCAAAGGGTGTTGGTGAGGAAAGGGGTGTGAGTGGCCAGTGTGACTGACCCAGTGCTTACTCTCTCTGCCCCCCCACGCAGGGCTGGCTGGTGGATTTAATAAACAAGTTTGGCACGTTAAACGGGTTTCAGATTTTGCACGAGCGATTTCTGAGCGGCCAGGCGCTGAATGTACAGATCATCGCTGCCCTCATCAAGTAAGTCCATCCATGGACGTGTCACGGCTACATGGAGTTAAAATAGCCTCTTAATATGCTTCTTAGCTGTAGCACAGTTGCCGTTACCTCTAATTGCCTGCTTGTCGTCCCCCCCCCACCCCTGCCCCCCCCTGCCCATGTTTCTGTTTCTCCTCAGGCCTTTCGGGCAGTGCTATGAGTTTCTAACGTTGCACACAGTGAAGAAGTACTTCCTTCCGATTATAGAAATGGTTCCCCAGTTTCTGGAGAACCTTACAGACGAGGAGCTGAAGAAGGAAGCCAAGAATGAAGCCAAAAACGACGCTCTGTCAATGATAATCAAGTCGCTGAAGAACCTCGCGTCACGGGTACCAGGGCAAGAAGAAACGGTGAAGAACTTAGAGATTTTTAGGTTAAAAATGATCCTTAGGTGAGATTCCTATCACGTCCTTCACTCTCTCTCGTAAGTGAGTGAAAAGCCTCTGTTTTCAAAAAATAATCTTGTTTATCGACAGGTTATTGCAAATTTCTTCTTTTAATGGAAAGATGAATGCACTAAATGAAGTTAACAAGGTGATATCGAGTGTCTCCTACTACACCCATCGGCACGGTAACCCTGAAGAGGAGGAGTGGCTAACGGCAGAGCGGATGGCCGTAAGTCAGACGGGTCCCTCTCAGATTAATGTTACTCTGCATGTGTAAGTGGTGCCCACCACCCCACTTCAATATGCAAGCACATGCAGTCCAAGCTGTGTATCGTGGGGGGTGGGTATTTATATTCCCTCGTTAACCCCTTTATTGCCGCTATCACATTAGCAGCTGACGTTTGTGCTGTAACTTTCAGCGTTCCTTTAATTAGCGTGGTGTAGGTTGTAGCTGAATCATCACTTTTTTGCCTGGAAAACTGAGGGACAGACTGGAGCAAATAAATGTCTTCAGTAGCTCTGCCAGGTCTGCCTCGAAATTTCCATGACCCAAGCAGAGTAACCTGCACGTTCCAAGCTGGAGAAATCCAGGCTGACTTTTTTTTTCTTTTTCTCTAATTTGATGTTTTCCGATCTAGAAGATGTGGTTCTGTTACAAACAAGTGAAGATGTCGTTCTGTTACAAACAAGTGCCGGACGGTAGTTCTTTGAGCCCCTTTAAAATAGTGGTGCGAGATGTGTGCTGTTACTTCCTGTTTGATTGAGAACCATATGTAGCATGTTTGTTGCCCTTCTGGAGTTGGCATCTTCTTGAGGGTTGTCTGTGAGGGTTGTCTGTGAGGGTTGTCTGTGAGGGTTGTCTGTGAGGGTTGTCTGTGAGGGTTGTCTGTGAGGGTTGTCTGTGAGGGTTGGTGAGAGCAAGTTGCTCTCTTACAGGAGTGGATCCAGCAGAACAACATCCTCTCCATTGTGCTGAGAGACAGCCTCCACCAGCCACAGTATGTGGAGAAGCTGGAGAAGATTCTCCGCTTCGTCATCAAGGAGAAGGCTTTGACGCTGCAGGACCTGGACAACATCTGGGCAGCCCAGGTACCTTGCGGTTCCACTGCTGCTCATCACGCCACAGGGGGCCGGCCAGTGTCTTCAGCTCTGTCAGTATGTCTCCCTTTTGTCACTCCTATAGGCGGGCAAGCATGAAGCCATCGTCAAGAACGTGCACGACCTCCTTGCAAAGCTGGCTTGGGATTTCTCCCCTGAGCAACTCGATCACCTCTTTGATTGTTTCAAGGTGAGTGGGTGGTGATATCGGAGTTTGGCCATGCTGGGGTGGGATCCAGGGTCCCTTCACCTGACCGTTCTTTTCGTCCTAGGCGAGCTGGACGAACGCGAGCAAGAAGCAGCGAGAGAAGCTTCTGGAGCTGATCCGGCGTCTGGCCGAAGATGACAAGGACGGTGTGATGGCCCACAAAGTGCTGAATCTGCTGTGGAACTTGGCCCACAGCGATGATGTCCCTGTGGACATCATGGACCAGGCCCTGAGTGCTCACATCAAGATCCTGGACTACAGCTGTTCCCAGGTTGGGGTGACACATGCCGTAACACATACCTTCTCTGTCTGGGCTTGGTCACCTGCGGTTTTGAAGACTAAAGCTCTTTATGAATGGAGCGGAGGCTTGTAGAGGTTGCTGTAGGCCGTTCTGTTGATTTTTGGCTGACTGCTGACTGGTAGCAGGGTGCTGTGGACCCGTCTGTTCAGGATGATGTTTGCGGCCTTGAAGCCCTGGAGCACTGACCGGCCGGTGCCTGTTTGCAGGACCGAGACACACAGAAGATCCAGTGGATCGACCGCTTCATCGGGGAGCTGAGAACCAACGACAAATGGGTGATCCCCGCTCTCAAGCAGATCCGAGAGATCTGCAGCCTGTTTGGCGAAGCCCCTCAGAATTTAAGGTGATGAGCTGCCCTTTGAAAGCACAGCACTTGATGGAATTTGTCACATACGGTCGTGTTTAATCCCCACTTGTATAGGGTTAATGGCATGCATGCTGTAGCTTGAAGTCTCATGCTGTGCATCTTTAATTCCTGTCACTTTGGTGCTGCTGTCTGAGTTTCAAGTCAAAATGTAACTCTAGAAGTTTCTAGAGCTGAATTTGCCACTGTTGCGTGCTGTCAGAACGCCTGTGTGGACGCCTGAGCTCAGGGCGGCTTCTCGTTCACAAACGGGGCACTTTGTCTTCCATCCTGCTTTGGCTGGTTCCTTAAGTGGTTCTTTCTGCCGAGCTCTCCGCTCTGGGATAGAAAACACTGTAAGTAGTGGAATTGCTATAATACACTGTTTTAAAATGTGATCTTCTCAAGACCATATATATCTGGACTTAACTTATTGGCCATATATCATAACCCTCAGGTAGGACTGCAGTTATTCGAAATAATTTAGTGCCGTCCTGATATTTGTATTTAAAATACAAAGAACTTGTAGCCGAAATGTAGCACACTTGCCTGTTGTTTTTCAGAAAGAAAATTCCTATTAACATAGAAAAGAACTTAGTGGGGTAAGTGGGGTTAATTTGGGGGTTTACTGTCACTAAGTGATGATGATGATCTGAATCTAACTGAAAACTGCTTCCAAATCCAGTGGCGATTCCTTTATTTGTACAGTGCATTTTACCAACCTGCTTGGGTCTCCTTTCCTCTTATACGTTTCTTCTGCTTCTTTTTAAACGAAATTATGCGGCGCCTCTGTGCAGTGGTGATTTCTCAGAATTATAAATCTGTCTTCTTACATCATTCGTAACTTTGCTGCTGTTGGCTTCAGGGACTGGTTAGACTGTGTTTATGTAGGCAGGCCGCTTGTCATTACACACAAGGGACATGGGGCCCAGGTTTACCAGCTGGCTTTGGCCTTTTGTGCCTCACTGCTTCCACTGGTGACAGTGTGCTTTCAGATTCAGCTGCAGTGTTAAACCACATTTTTCAGTTAGACAGCCAGTCCAGCTTATGGCCCTGATTCAGTCTATAAACCGGTTGCTGTGACTCCTGGGATTCTCTGGGCTTTTGAGGAAGGCACCTGACCAAAGTTGCTCCCGCTGTCCTGCAGTCAGACGCAGCGGAGTCCTCACGTCTTTTATCGGCACGACCTGATCAACCAGCTGCAGCACAACCACGCACTCGTCACCCTGGTAGCGGAAAACCTGTCGGCGTACATGGAGAGCATGCGGCAGTTCATGAAAGGTCAGTCACGGGGTCACGTTGGGGTCACGACACAGGGGAGCTGCCCAATATCTGTCTGTCTTGTGCCGGCACTGGGCTGATCCACGACCGGTGCACACGGTGCAAGAACCTATGCACTCTTTGGAAGTGCTGGACGCGCGATCTTGATGGTCCTTTCGCTCTCGCCAGCGGAGCACGTGGAGTTTGACCCACAGACGGTCCGGCCCGGTAGCCGCTACAGCCATGTACAGGAGGTACAGGAAAGACTCAACTTCTTGAGGTAAGTTCTGTCTTGGTCACCGTGCTTTTGTTTGAGAAAATGTGCTGGAACAGGTTGTCTGACGTCACCGATGGGTCTCTGGCAGATTCCTGCTGAAGGATGGGCAGCTGTGGCTGTGTGCCCCTCAGGCCAAGCAGATCTGGAAATGCCTGGCAGAGAACGCGGTGTTCCTGTGCGACCGCGAGGCCTGCTTCAAGTGGTACTCCAAGCTAATGGGCGACGAGCCCGACCTGGATCCAGACATCAACAAGGACTTCTTCGAGAACAACGTGCTGCAGCTGGACCCGTCGCTGCTCACCGAAAACGGCATGAAGTGCTTCGAGCGCTTCTTCAAGGCCGTGAACTGCAGGGAGGGCAAGCTGGTGGCCAAGCGAAGGGCCTACATGATGGACGACCTGGAGCTCATAGGCCTGGATTACCTCTGGAGGGTAGGTGGTCCAGGTGCTATTGGTCTAACGTTTGTAGTGCGCGGTGTGGATGTATCTGGACGATAAGCTGTATCTGTGCGTGGGAAGGCTGGGCCCTTTCACTGTGGGTTGGAGACTTTCCATTAGAAGCAGAGGTAAATGATAGCATGTATTCACTCTGTGGCATTTATAGGTGTCGATGCAAAGCACATTCATGCATTCAGGAATGTGTGTCCCCTTCTGACTATTTTGAGAACCCATTGTTATGGCGTACTGTGGGCCTTAAACATGTTCATCCTGAAAGGGGGGGGGCGGCATATCCATGAAGATGCGTGTTTGTGGGGAGGGCTTCAGAGCAGCGTGACGAATAGGTTTAGGTTTGGGGCTCATAGAAATGCACTGTTTATTTTTGTGGCCTACATTTTCACACCCCCTCACCCAGTCTTTCAAAGTGCATCATCCATTTTTTGTATAACAGGGGAAAAATGCAAAGCAACTGAGTGACCCTGGATAAAAAGGTGGGGGGGTGTAAACATTTTCCGGGGCACCTGTAAATACCTGTTACATTTGAGTCATTCTACAAGGCATCCTGTTTTATGGGTCCTATGTACAGCTCCCTTCCTTTAAATTTGGGTGGAATTTCTTTGTGGTTCTTAAGGGTAGCAGAAAGCAGACCTGGGTTTCCATGCAGGACCGATGGGGTGGATGTTGTGGGGGAGGGGGGAGTCCGTCTAGGTCTGTTTCTGTAAATGCCGTACGCTGTATGTTTTTCATATGAAATCTGTCTGGGTGAGATTTGCCACACGCTGGCCTATTAATTTGTCTGTGAAAACAGGTCGTTATTCAAGGAAGTGATGACATCGCCACAAGAGCAATCGACTTATTGAAAGAGATCTACACAAACCTTGGACCAAAACTACAAGTAAATCAGGTAAGCTGCTCCTCCATAATATCTGGCAACATTTTGTGAGCTTCAGCATGATCATAGCAAACCCAATGACCACGGCAGGGCCGGCGATTTTGTCACAGAGCAGCATATGAGGCGTATGTAACAGGGCAGACTTCGTCTGGGTCGCGTGCAGGTGGAGATCCATGAAGACTTCATCCAGTCCTGTTTTGACCGGTTGAAAGCCTCCTACGACACGCTGTGTGTACTGGATGGAGACAAAGACAGCATCAACTGTGCCAGGCAAGAAGCCATCCGCATGGGCAGGGTGCTCACCGTGCTGAGGGAGTACATCACCGAGTGCGACAGCGACTACCACGAAGAGCGCACTATCCTGCCGATGTCGAGGTACGGGGCCCGCTGATCCCACTCGGCCACTGAATATGGCTTGGGGTACCGCTGTGGTTGTAAGCTCTCGTTCCTTCTGTAGGGCCTTTCGTGGCAAGCACATCAGTCTCGTCGTCCGCTTCCCAAACCAAGGCCGGCAGGTGGACGACCTGGACATCTGGTCACACACCAACGACACGATCGGCTCCGTGCGCCGCTGCATCCTGAATCGAATAAAAGCCAACAGCGCGCATACGAAAATCGAGCTCTTCATCGGGGGTGAAATCGTGGACCCGGCTGACGACAGGAAGCTGATCGGACAGCTCAACATCAAAGACAAAACTGTAAGCTTTCGTTTGGCGCCCACCGGTGTCCTGGAGGCTCACTGCGCTCCTATTCTTACACTCTGCCTATTGGCAGGTGACGTCATTGCGCGTCAAGGTCCTGAACATAGACGACTTCTTTCTTCTCTCTGTTCTCCCTGCTCCACCCCTCAGCTCATCACAGCCAAGCTGACCCAAGTTAGTTCCAACATGCCTTCAAGCCCTGACAGCTCCTCCGATTCCTCTACTGGGTCCCCTGGGACCCATGGAAACCATTACAGTGATGGTCCCAATCCTGAAGTGGAGAGCTGTCTCCCAGGCGTGGTGAGGCTCTGCTCGGGTTCTTCTCATCCCCCGATTCTTTCGGCTGCATGGCCGTAGAGCAGTAAATGAGTCACATTAAAATGGAATATTTTGTGTGCTGCTGGTGACTTTTCGTTTGTGGTGATTACCAGTTGAGAAGGTCCGAGCTCCGAACTTGTCCGCCGGCATGTAGGTTGTAGTCTGTGCTTCACTATGGACCCGTCTGCTTTTGTAGATCATGTCGCTGCATCTCCGCTACGTCTCTTTCTTGTGGCAAGTAGCAGACTTGGGGTGTAATCTTAACATGCCTCTCCTCCGGGACGGAGCCCGCGTCCTTATGAAGCTCATGCCCCCCGGTACGTTGCCCGTGCCAGCTTATCCTGAGGTCTCTTCCTGTTCTTTCTGGAAAATTCCTTTAATTCGCCCTTGCGTGATCATTGCTAGCTGCTTCTAGTTAAAAGTAGCGGGTCGTTTTTGGTAGAGGAGGTGGTGAGGCGCTCGATCTGTCTGGATGCTAGTATGGGTTCCTCTCTCCAGATAACACTACCGTGGAGAACCTGCGTGCCATCTGTCTGGATCACGCCAAGCTGGGTGAGAACAGCCTAAGCCCCACACTGGACTCTCGCTTCTTCGGTCCCTCTCCGTCCCAAGTTCTCTACCTGACCGAGGTTTGTGCGCAGAGTTTGCCGGTGTCACTGGTGTAGCGCCCCTGCCCTGCCCTGCCCGTGACGCCTGCCCTCGGCCTTTTCGCAGGTGGTGTACGCCTTGCTGATGCCCGCCAGCGGTACCCTGGGGGAGGACGCCAGCGACTTCCAGTACAACTTCCTGAAAAGTGGCGGCCTGCCGCTGGTCTTGAGCATGCTGACCAGGAACAACTTCCTGCCCAGCGCTGACATGGAGACGAGACGAGGCGCCTGCCTTAATGCCCTAAAAATAGCCAAGCTGCTGTTAACGGCCGTGGGCTTCGGCCACGTGAAGGTCGTGGCGGAAGCCTGTCAGCCGGCTGCAGAGGGAACCAACCCCGTGTCACCTGTAAGCGTGCCGCCTCAGATCGTCATCTGTGTGCTCTCTAATATTAGCTGTAAGGAGGTTAGTGTATGTGTGAGGTGTATGCGAGACGCCCTGTATACCCATACAAGGGGCCCTCATTGCATATTCAGGCTCCTGATTGATCCCAAGACACTGAGCCACTTTGAGTCCTTAAGTGTGCTCCTTTCCTCTGACCTTAGGCTGTAGTGTGAGGCAGGGGGGGCCGGAATTCTTGGAGTCCAGTTACAAGCCTCTCTCTTGCCCTCCAGTCGCTGTAAATGTCAGGGGTACAGGTTGTCTGAGGAACAGCAGAGCCCTACGTCGAGGTCCTCCTTCAGGAAGCCGCCGCCTGTTGTCCATCATTTTCCAAAAAGGAAATGTTGCACTGCTCTTGTGTGGAGAGTGGCTGGATTCACAGTTAATATTAAGCGCATTGCCGACACTCTGTTATTCATCTCCTAGATAAACCAGGCCACGCATGACCAGGCTATAGTTCTCCAGAACGCGCTGCAGAACATTCCCAACCCGTCATCCGAGTGCATGTTGCGCAACGTGGCCATCCGCCTGGCCCAGCAGATCTCTGACGAGGTTTGTGGGGACCCTTTACTGTCGGGGGGTGGCACTGGGGACGCGGGGGCCTCTGTCACGCTGCTCATCCGGTCTGGCGTGTGAAGCACTCGTGTGCCTCTGGCCCGTCCCGGGTGGTCTGGTGAACAAGATGCTCCTTGTTTTATAGCACGTTGGTTTATAATGCACCCCAACACACTGCAGTGCTCTTGCTATAATGTTAAGTTCAAACCATTTGTTTAGCTTGGATTTCGGCTGCTGCCGCGTCTTTCACTGTGTTTGTTGTACCTGGTGTGATAATCAGGACCCTGGTTTATAACCACAGGAGTTAAATTCGCGCTTGCTGAACTGTCCGTCCACGTTTCCCTGCACAGAACTTCTTCCAGGCTTCTAAATACATCCCAGATATCTGCGTGATCAGGGCCGTGCAGAAGATCATCTGGGCGTCCGGCTGCGGCACCATCCAGCTGGTCTTCAGCTCCAACGAGGAGATCAGCAAGATCTACGAGAAGGTACCGGCGCCGCCGTCGCGTCTCTGCGGGCCGTGTCCGGGAGCGGGGGTGTGACTCTGCCTGTGGCCCCCACACAGATGAACGCGGGCAGCGAGCCGGACGCGGAGGACGAGCAGGTGTGCTGCGAGGCCCTGGAGGTGATGACTCTGTGTTTCGCTCTGCTCCCCACGGCGCTGGACACGCTCAGCAAGGAGAAGGCCTGGCAAGCCTTTATCATCGACCTGCTGCTGCACTGCCAGAGCCGGTGGGTGCCGCGGCATCGTAGCGCTGACTCCGCGCCCCTCTGCCCGACTCGGTGCTCAGTGCCACCGTGACCGGTGTCTCGCCATCATGCTTCGCCAGGTCTGTTCGCCAGATGGCTCAGGAGCAGTTCTTCGTCATGGCCACCAGGTGCTGCATGGGACACAGGCCGCTGCTGTTCTTCATCACCCTCCTCTTCACTGTTCTGAGCGTATGTATCCAAAAGGGGCCTCTGTGTTCTGGAAGGGCGGCATGAGCTGTCTGCTAATAAACATCCTGGAAGACCTCGTGCTGACGTGCGAGTATAACGAGCAGAGCGCTGTCTGATGTGTGGCCGTCAACTGCGTTTCACAGAGCACTGCGAAGGAGAGGGCGAAGCACGCTGGAGACTACTTCATCCTCTTAAGGCACTTACTGAACTACGCGTTCAACAGCAACATCAGTCTCCCCAATGCGGAGGTTCTCCTGAACAATGAGATCGACTGGTTAAAAAGGATCAGGGTGAGTGGGTCTCCGACTGCCCCCGCCCCCCCCGTGCCAGTCAGTGTGCTGCCCATGTGATAACATGCCGCCCTCGGTTGGTGCAGGATGAGGTGAGATGCACTGGGGAAACGGGAGTTGAGGACACCATACTGGAGGGTCACCTCGGGGTCACGAAGGAGCTGCTGGCTTTCCAGACGCCTGAGAAGAAATACCACATTGGCTGTGAGAAGGGTGGGGCCAATCTTATCAAGGTCAGTTTCTGGCGCTTTTATTGGTTTTTTTTCCCCTGTATAAAACGGTGCATGTCTGACTCACAGGGTATAGCTTAAAAGAACTACTGGTCATTCCCATTTGTGCTATAAAAGGCTAGTCCGCCTCAGAGCTGCTTCCATTCTCAAAGGCAGAGCTTAATCCGGACTTTCCTCCTCCTCTCTGCAGGAGCTCATTGATGACTTCATCTTCCCGGCCTCCAACGTCTATCTGCAGTACATGAAGAGCGGCGAGTTCCCGGCCGAGCAGGCCATCCCCGTCTGCAGCACCCCCGCCAGCATCAATGCTGGCTTCGAGCTGCTGGTGGCACTCGCCGTTGGCTGCGTGCGCAACCTCAAGCAGATCGTCGACACGCTGACGGACATGTATTACTTAAGTGCGTCACACCAGCAGAAATGTGTCAGTTATGTTCAGTTGCTGTTGAAGTAGCAGCCTTTAGGGTAGATGGGTTGTCGAGGATATTGCTATGAAGGTATCTGGCGCTACTACTATTGGCTGGTTAGAAACATGTGGCCACTGTGGTGCATCCAATAAGAATTCTTAGAATTCTGGTCTGAAGAAGTGGTCCAATAACAAAGGGAAATTGGAGATCCTGGCCGACCAGAATAAACCAGCAGCCCTTTAGCGTGTTTAAGATGTGCTTTTCTGCTTTGTCCCATCGCTCTGCCTACCCTTCTTCCCCTTTCAAGATTGTGAAGCACTTACGGAGTGGGAGTACCTGCCCCCCGTGGGCCCCCGGCTCACTAAGGGCTTTGTGGGCCTCAAGAACGCGGGGGCCACCTGCTACATGAACTCCGTGATACAGCAGCTCTACATGATCCCGCCCATCCGCAACGGCATCCTGGCCATCGAGGGCACGGGCACGGACGTGGACGACGACATGTCCGGGGACGAGAAGCAGGATAACGAGGTGTGGGATCAGCTGGCTCATTGTCCCGAGAACGATGGAGCTTTGATGCTCTTCGCCCTGTGATGATGCTCATCCTTGCTCAGGATTCGGTGACTGACACATCAGCCATCTCCAAGGTCATAAGCTGTGTAGGCCTGACCTGGAGCTGAGGGCATCCCTGTAGTTGAATATGAGTAGTCAGCCTCAGAAGTATTTCTCTGTCTCAGATACACTCCTGTGCGCATGCAGTGACTGAAACATAAGATGGTTGTTCCTCGACCCACAGAGCAATGTGGACCCTCGTGATGAAGTATTCAGCTATCACCACCAGTTTGAAGAGAAGCCTTCAGTCAGCAAGTCTGAGGACAGGAAGGAATACAATATTGGTGTACTGCGCCACCTGCAGGTCATATTTGGACACCTGGCTGCTTCCAGATTGCAGTACTATGTGCCTCGAGGCTTCTGGAAACAGTTCAGGTAATCGTTTCATCTGTCTTGACCCATTACCATCAAATGAGCCTGTGCAGCGATGCAGTGTTGGTACACATGTTCCTGTGGGTGTGGTGAACATAGTATTCTGATGTCCTGTCTTCAGGTTATGGGGAGAGCCAGTTAACCTTAGAGAACAGCATGATGCCCTTGAGTTCTTCAACTCCCTGGTGGATAGTCTGGATGAAGCCCTCAAAGCACTTGGTCACCCAGCCATGCTCAGCAAAATCCTGGGGGGCTCCTTCGCTGATCAGAAAATTTGCCAGGGGTGTCCTCATAGGTGCGTGTCTCCAGGTTAACAGGGCATGTCATGAGGGGGGTGGAATGCTGATTGGCACGATGACTCTGATGCGGAACCTTCTGCGCTCCAGGTACGAGTGTGAGGAATCCTTCACCACGCTGAACGTAGATATCAGAAATCACCAGAACCTCCTGGATTCCATGGAGCAGTATGTCAAAGGAGACTTGCTAGAGGGTGCCAACGCCTACCACTGTGAGAAATGCAATAAGAAGGTACCTATGATCACCACGTCTCGCATTTTGTTGCATGCTTCTTGTAGTCCCAGTAAACAGCTGTAATGTTGGCTCCCGCAGGTTGACACGGTGAAGCGTTTGCTTATCAAGACGTTGCCCCCAGTGCTGGCGATCCAGCTGAAGCGCTTCGATTATGACTGGGAGAGGGAGTGCGCCATCAAGTTCAACGACTACTTCGAGTTCCCGCGTGAGCTGGACATGGAGCCGTACACGGTGGCGGGAGTGGCCAAGCTGGAGGGCGATGACGTGCACCCGGAGAACCAGGTGATCCAGAATGAGCCTGGGGAGGGCGAAGCAATGGGCAGCTCCAAGTACCGACTGGTTGGCGTGCTGGTGCACAGCGGCCAGGCCAGTGGGGGCCACTACTACTCTTACATCATCCAGCGGAACGGCGGCGACGGCGAGCGGAACCGTTGGTATAAGTTCGACGATGGAGACGTCACCGAGTGCAAGATGGATGACGACGAGGAGATGAAGAACCAGTGCTTTGGCGGAGAGTACATGGGCGAGGTCTTCGACCACATGATGAAGCGCATGTCCTACCGCCGCCAGAAGAGGTGGTGGAACGCCTACATCCTGTTCTATGAGCGCATGGACTCTCCAGAGCGGGATGGAGAGCTGGTGAAGTACATCACGGAGCTGACCATCTCCGCCAGACCGCACCAGATCAAGATGCCAGCCGCCATCGAGTGCAGCGTGCGCAAGCAGAACGTGCAGTTCATGCACAACCGCATGCAGTACAGCCTGGAATATTTCCAGTTTATAAAGAAACTTCTGACCTGTAACAGTGTCTATTTAAACCTGCCTCCAGGTAAGTAGTACCCCGTCAGTCAGTCTGCTTCTGCTATTATGATCTTTAGCTAATTTCCGTTTCCATGTGATGTGAGTGTGTTGCTCTGTGTGAATTCCATTGTCTTCGCTGTGGTTAAATTTGCAGCATTTTTGGGTTACTCATGCTGTCGAGCTGCATTTAAAGCACCGCTGTTTCCAGCACTCTTCGACGATGTCATTGGATGCTGGTGTGTCTTGAAAGGATGCCCAAATCATTATTTGAGACTCTTGAGCATGAATGGAGAAATTAGTGTTATTTTTCTTTCAAGGGGATTTCTTTGAGTAGAAAATTTAGGTCTCTCAGTTTCATAAGTAGAAGTGATGGTCGTAGTAGTAAGGGCTCCCCTTAAACTAGAGATGCGCCGGTCTGATATTCGGATCGGTATCGGCACTGATCCAGACCTATTAGACGGGCAGGCTTATTAGGCTGTATGTGACCGAACCACTTGTTTAGAAGGCACTCTCTAAAAAGATAGATCCTATTTCGTGTTAAGTCTATTGGCACAATCAATCGCACGGCAGCTCTATCTCATTTTAGATGTTTTTTGTAGCTTTAAAGCTGAAGGCTAAGACTGCCACTCGATGGCTGTGAGCGCAGTGACTTCCGGCGGCTATGACGTCATTCACATACCCTTCGCAGTAAGGGGAGCATAAGAATATCAGATAGGAGGGTGACGATCTGGAAGTATTTTACGCTTTTAACAACAAGTAGTAGCGCAGCAATTTGCAATCTTTGTAAAAAATGTTTTGAGAGCTGGGAGTAGCATTTAGTGGAAAATGCACGCAGTCGTGCGAGTAATATGACAAAAGCAATGGATGATTTGGGAGTCGCTAGCTTGGGCTGCGCACCCCTTACTGCTTGTGATACACGAGGGGCTGCGATCGTAGCGAAGCGTAAGTGACGCTGCTGCCAGTGGGAGAAACACTATGGGGCACTTTAAGCTTTCGGCGCTGGTGTATCCTCACTTGGAAGATATTTCAATTGAACTGCAAAATGCCTCAAAAACGCTTAAAACATGATGTTCAAATGAGGTGGAACAGAACGTTACGTATGTTTCTATTAGCCTAATTAAAGATTTTTTTGCCATACGTTTATATTCAATCAGCACGTCTCTGATTTTGTCTGTATTTACTAGTTTAAAAAATTAATATATGAAACGTAAATATATATATTTATTTAAAAGTTTAAGTAAAAAGAACTCTTGTATCAGGATCGGAACCGGATCAGAACTGAAAAAATGTGAATCTGCCTTTCCCTATCTCAAACTGCCCAAAGAGTTGGGCAGCAGGGGAGTCTCAGCTCAAAGTTGAGTGCGAGTCTTATCGGAAACCTCTGCTGGAAGCCTTTTGCTGAAACGTAACCCTTGATGGTGTGAGCTTCGTTGCATGGAGTGGATTTGATGTTCTATACTGTGAAATGACTTGGCATCTTTAAAGATTGAACTTGGACTGTAAGAGTTAATCCCCTTGACAAATCAGCGTGTGGGTATCTGTGTTTGTGTGGCTCTGGGAGAAGCTAAGGGTTCCTTTGGTGCACTGATGGGCTGAAGACGCACAGATCAGGCTAACGGACACCAAGCAGTATCATACTTGAGCCCGTGGGGCATCGCCAATCTCATGCACTCGTACTTCTGTACTGTGTTGCTACAGACCTGTGATGGCAGGTTGTAATTTCCATTTCTAACGATGCTTATTTTTGTTCAAATTAGGACAAGATCATCTTTTGCCTGAAGCAGAAGAAATAGCTATGATTAGTATTCAGCTTGCTGCTAGGTTCCTGTTTAGTACAGGATTTCACACAAAGAAGATCGTACGCGGCCCGGCCAGCGACTGGTAAGGACTTCACCTCTGAAAGCCGCCACTTCCCTGCAGTCTCCTACAAACGGCTTTCGGGTCTCTCACTGACATTACAAGTAACAGCTGAAACGATCATTATCTATGCTTGATGATTTGCAGCGGGTTGCCCCCCCCCCCTAACAAGTGCCCGCCCCTTAGGTACGACGCACTGTGCATCCTCCTCCGTCATAGCAAGAATGTACGCTGCTGGTTTGCACACAACGCTCTGTTCGCCTTCCCCAACCGCTTCTCGGAGTACCTGCTGGAGTGCCCCAGTGCAGAAGTTAGGGGCGCCTTTGCCAAGCTCCTCGTCTTCATCGCGCACTTCTCCCTGCAAGATGGGCCGTGCCCTTCGCCGGTGGCCTCGCCTGGTCCTTCCAGTCAGGTGAAGCCGTAGTTCTGTAGGCCTTCTTAGTGCAGCGGGTCCCAAACGTCCTCTTGGGGGCTCCCAGTGGTATTCCACTACAAGTACATCAAACCATTCCTGGGTTTGGTGATTGGTTGGCTTAAAGGGGCAGCTCATCCCAAAACTGAAGACATGTACTTTAGAGGGACTTTAGTTCCATCTACTCATCTAGGTCGTTCTGCTGGGAGTTGCCTTGTTTTGGAGATATCGGCCGAATTTAATGGGACTGGATTGCATTCTTACATTAGAAAATATACATTTAACGTTTTCTAATGTACGTCTCACATTTTCTTAACCCGAATTCCGCACATCAATCATACCACTTCGCCAGAAGACACGAGCACCCCGGCGATATCCTCTGCGCCGTGATACGTTAGTCAGCCTGGCTGTTCAGTGAGCCTCACGTGAATGCCCTGTTTTGCCCCCCAGGCCTGTGACAGCTTGAGCCTAAGTGACCACTTGCTAAGAGCAGTGCTTAACCTCCTCCGCCGGGAGGTGTCCGAACACGGCCGGCACCTGCAGCAGTACTTCAACCTCTTCGTCATGTACGCCAACTTGGGTATGAGCCGCCCGCATCTGGCCTTGGCATAGCGCCTTCCTTGAACCAGCGTCTGGCTCTCCCTGCCCCCCCCCCCCGACCACCCCCCCCCCCTTTGTTGCAGGAGTGGCTGAGAAGACACAGTTGCTTAAGCTCAGCGTACCTGCGACCTTCATGCTGGTCGCCCTGGACGAGGGGCCTGGTCCTCCAATCAAGTACCAGTATGCTGAGCTGGGGAAGCTGTATACTGTGGTCTCTCAGCTGGTGCGGTGTTGCGATGTATCATCGCGCATGCAGTCCTCCATTAACGGTAAGAATCCTTCCGTATTACGGTGGATGGCTGTAATCCGTGTTCCTGGAAGTGAGTGACGTGTTCGTTGACTAGCGCTAGACGTGGCTTGAAGGTGTAGGTGCCCTGTGAAGGTCCTCGTCCCTGCTCAGGACTTGGGCTCGGAGATGGAGGATGTCAGTCACCATGTCTTGTGGATGGGGCCTGGAGCTGAGTGCACCTACGGGGTTAAGGGGCGATAGTTTGGCACTATTGACCAGCTCATGGCCGGTGCTCTGAAAAGGCCCTACTTACTTTTCAGGTAACCCGGCTCTTCCGAATCCCTACGGCGACCCTAGTCTGGCACAACCCCTCATGCCCGTGCAGCAGCTGGTGACGGAGATCCTGTTCGTTCGCACCAGCTACGTGAAGAAGATCATCGAGGACTGCAGCAACTCGGAGGAGACAGTCAAGCTGCTGCGCTTCGGCTGCTGGGAGAACCCCCAGTTCTCCTCCACGGTGCTCAGCGAGCTCCTCTGGCAGGTGGGTGCCTCTCCCCCTCGCCTGTTGGTAGAGATGTTCCACCTGAGCAGCCGGTCCTCCTTGGTGGGCGGTCCTTGCTTCATGCTTCTCTCTCCTCCTAGGTGGCTTACTCCTACACTTATGAGCTGAGGCCTTACCTGGACCTCCTGCTGCAGATCCTACTCGTTGAGGACTCGTGGCAGACTCATAGGTAAGGCCGGGTGTTGCTGTTTCGGCATCACGTACCGAGGAGATGGGATACGTGTTACTCTTAACCATGGAATTATGACCTCCGGTCCGTCTCCCTCCCCCAGGATTCACAACGTGTTGAAGGGGATCCCCGATGATAGGGACGGCCTCTTCGACACCATCCAGCGCTCCAAAAACCACTACCAGAAGCGGGCTTACCAGTGCATCAAGTGCATGGTGGCTCTCTTCAGTAATTGTTCTGTAGCGTATCAGATCCTCCAGGTATCGCCTAGGCCTACGAATGTGATTATGGTGTCGTCTCTGCTGTGCCCTTGTGGTGGGGTGACGTCTGGTCTGCTGTGGCCTACAGAGCAATGGGGATCTGAAGAGGAAGTGGACGTGGGCAGTGGAGTGGCTGGGCGATGAGCTGGAGCGCCGGCCGTACACGGGGAATCCCCAGTACACATACAACAACTGGTCGCCCCCGGTGCAGAGCAACGAGACTTCCAACGGCTACTTCCTGGAGCGCTCCCACAGCGCACGGATGACCCTGGCCAAGGCCTGCGAGCTCTGCCCTGAGGAGGTACCGCCCATCGCCCCCCCCCCCTTAGCTTTCAATTTCTGTCTGCGCGCTTAAAATCCATTAAAGGGGATGCTGTGTTGTCTAGTTTTCTCCTGTACGATGTAGTGAACGGTGGAACTTTCTGGAACTGGGTTTTCACGTTTAAGGCCAAAAATATGGGTTGGATTCATAATGCTAAATTAGTTTTATCACTTCAGCCGCATTCATCTGCTAGCTGAGTAGTTTTTGTCTTTTTTTTCCCCCCTCAACGCTGCTTTTTTCCACCATGAAACCTTCTGATTGCTGTTTTATCATAAATCTGCCTGTAGTGTGATTTAGGAAGCATAAACATATAAGAAAATGGCATCTGTGCCAGGTGGAAGGAGTTAGGTTTCGTTTTTAAGGAGTAACTGAAGCCTTTTGTTCTGTTAATTTGCATGTTTGAGCTAATTTGCATATGCTGTCACTTTCAAACCTCAGCTTAGAATACATGAGTCTTCCTGCTAGTGTAGTGGAAGCTAAAACCCTGGGTTCCTTTAAATCAGAGCTAGATAAGATTTTAACAACTCTGAGCTATTAGTTAAGTTCTCCCCAAACAAGCTTGATGGGCCGAATGGCCTCCTCTCGTTTGTAAATTTCTTATGTTCTTATGATTTTACATCCAGCATAAGCAGACATGCCAGACTGAGCCAGTCCTCTCCGAGATTGTATATTAAGCGTAATCTGCATAAATGTATTTGCGCACACTTTTTTTTTTATTTTAATGAGCTGCTTTTACTTGATCCATTGTATAATGTAGCTTCACTTGTGAATTTTTCACATTAATATTAACATTCGTAGGTAAGGCTTTGAGTTGTCGATTTTCTTTCTAACCTTTGAGGCAAACGTTGCCCTTGTGCTGGTACTGAACATGCAGTCCAAAGACTTTGGCTTCATGCTTTTGGCAGTTTTCAGCACTTTGTTTTGGCGCCTGGTGTTTTGCGTTATTTTCTGACAAATGGCCTCCTTTCTTTCTCCCCCTGTGTTGAGCCTGTGACCAAGCCCGGTCACGCGGGCCGTGCGACCTCTCCCGTCGGACCGGTACCGATGCGGATGGCTAATCACTGGGATAGTGAGGAGAGGCCGGGAACCTGCCGTTCGATGACACCTGTCTGATGTGCCATTTTAACTGCCGTTTCAAAATAGTGTCACTTAACGAAGCACGAGGCGGCGTCTGAAGAAGACGCGGGGCGGACCTCGTCCTCGGCGCCGCAGCTCGTGCCAGGGGACGTGGCCGGACAGCAGCCGCCCACCGTAAGAGTCACGCCCAGCGGCAGAGCCCCCGCGCCCGCGTTCTCTTGCTGTTCAGATGGCGTGCTGCGACCCGGTCCATTTCTCCAGCGCTAGCGTTGGCTCGGCCGGTCCTGGACTTCATCTCAGTGTGTTTTAGCTGTTACCTCTCCCACTCCACCTGTCCCCCCTCCCCCCCACTCACACCTACCACATTGCCAGAACAAATGCAAACATCCACATGAAATGGGATTGAAAACTCAAGCCCTGGCTGCAATGCAAAGGTCCCCCCCCCCACCCCCGCTGGGGTAGTGCAGGGCTTCCATCAGCCTCGGTTTGGCCTCACCTTGGATGAACCAGGCGGTTCAGAACCATGAGTGTCAAGCGCTCATTACTGCCCCTCTCAGTTTGTGAAAGGAATTGCTTTAATGGTAGAAAGCTGTTGGGATGAATGATCTAAATTTTAGCAAAATCGTTACCCTGCCGTGTTACACATTTGATGTGATGCTTCATGTTTTAGCCTTAACTTCATTTAGAATCTAGTTATAAAAACTAGTTACTAGTCCCCTTTAGCATCCGGTGCTTATGGTGAGTAGTGATGGTGGAGATGATTTCTGGGATAAAACCCTTAGCTGGTCAGAGTTAGCAGCTTGACCTACGTGGAATCATGAATACACAAGCATATCTGTTCCTCAGATGGGAGCAGAGAAGCCAATTTAATTATTTTTACCCACAGAATTGGGTAATTGAGTAAAATCTGCCAAGCTGCCTGTGTTGTCTTGGTTTCCTGCTGTACTGTCCCACCATCAAAGTATCAACTTCTGTTTACTTGTGTCAGGAACCCGATGATCAGGAGGCCCCTGCAGAGCACGAGGTCTCTCCTCCTGAGGACACCACCCTCTGCCCCCACCCTCCTGGGACGACCTATCAGCAGGTATGACGGCCCCCCAGGCACATTCACTCTCCACCCCTTCAGCTGGACAAACATGTGCTTTGTAGTGTACCTATGTAGTGTACCTATGTAGTGTACCTATGTAGTGTACCTATGTAGTGTACCTATGTAGTGTACCTTTGTTTTGCAGGCTTTGGTTTGTTTGTAAACAGAATGCCCAATGAAATGCGGCACCCATAGTCATCAGGAAAGGGACTGTGTGTGTGGGGATGTGGATGTGTGGGGATGTGGATGTGTGGGGATGTGGATGTGTGGGGATGTGGATGTGTGGGGATGTGGATGTGTGGGGATGTGGATGTGTGGGTGTGCGTGCCCGCACCTGTACTAATGGTCTTCTGTCTGTGTCAAGCAGAATCCCCACCCCCAGGGGCAGCCCTACACGGGCCCCGCAGCACAGCACATGAACAACCCACCACGCCCGGGTCCGGCCCCCGCCCCCGTGCCGGCCGTGGCCCCGGCCCAACGAGCACAAGAGACCTGGGAGGGAGGCGAGGAGCCAGCGCCAGCCCAGACGAAGGAGTAGCCCCCGGCGGCCACCCTGCCCCTCACCTGGCCGACTGCTCCATCAAGACACTTGATCCAAGTGCGAAACCAGGCCTTAGGAGCGAATGGCGCCTCCAGGGCCCCTCCCCCGTCCCAAATTCAGCTGTTTTGTATCTAACCTGGAGTGGAGTGTGTGTTCACTGTCAGAAACATAGCACCCTGCAGTGCACAGCGTCTCGTGTCGTAACACAAGTGGGGGGGGGGGGGGGGGGGCTGGGGAATGCAGAGGTGTACATAGTTAATGTTTGACTTCACTTCCAACAGTGAGACTGTTTGCTGGTGGAGACTTCCCAGTCTTGGGGGGGGGGGGGGAAACTAAAAAGGAAAAAAAAAAAACTTGCAACTTGCTTCAAGTCCTGTGCGCGGCACTGAGGTTCGGTCGGCCTTCCGGCAGATTGGGCACGTTGGGTTTCCAGAGGACACCACGCTGGTGGCGACCACCTTAAACGCACTGCGGCATCTCCTCTGAGGGGCTGACATTATTATGGGCTGTTGGAACACCTGGGTTTACTCTGATATGTGGTTGGTGTAGAAAGTGATGTAAACATTGTTCTAGATCCTCCATCGCCTTTCTGTAATTCTGGTATTAATTCAGTCACTTCCAAGCTCTAGTTAATAAGCTGTAATATTTAGCATGGCGCCGCCCAGGGTGGCCGCTGAAGGGAGAACGCCACGTTAACGATGCCAGGCCCTGACCCACAGCTACTCTGAAGAGCCTTTTTTTAATTTATGATTTTTTAAACAATCGTCCTCTCACACCTCGGCAGTGGTTATCCGGAACCAATAGCAGCAGCGAGCGAATTTTCAAACGCACGTGTATTCCTCAGATGTAACGTTTTGGAATCGATGCGTCGACGGGACTATAAACATGTAGGTTTCAATAAATAGGAATTTTAAGAAGACAAATATATATGCAACAGTGTGCTACGCCAGGTCGCCTGGAGCACAGTAGACCATACTTGGTGTGCTTGTCGTCGTCTCCCTGGTAGAGGCTTATTCTAGGCTAACTCCCAGTGGCTTCCCAGTCTGCAGCCCATGTGCTGGAATGGGGCCGTGAGCCGGGCCACAGGCTTCTGTTCGACACCCTAATTCTCCCCTTCCTCATTTCACACAGTCCTACTTGAATGCAGGCATTGTTTTAGAAATCTATCAATTTGGGGGGGGGCAGAACCAAACCTTAAGCAGGGTTGTATTATAAAAATAACTGCTGGTTAGTCACATTACAACTGTTAGCGGTCATGCTAAGCGAAGCGTTACTCTTTAGGATATAAAGGAAAGCCTTGGTGAATACTGTATTTAATTGGTAACTTGAATGTGTATTTTTTTTTTTTTTTTTTTGCTTTTTTGTCTAAAATACCAAATACCCCCCCTGCAAAATAGAAGCCCACCATTTATTTAAATATTTTGCTGTTTTGTTTTATAGAAATTTATTTTGCTGAACTTCACAAAACAATAGTTTAAGAGGAACATTTTCATCCTTGTGTTATTTTTAAGGAAGACGCTGACTGTACAGAGTTCTGCGACCCGTTTTGCCGACTTTTGTTTTGGCCAATGGTGTGACAGTCGCCATGTGAACTTTCACTTTATGAGGTTTTTTTTTTTTGTGCACAGAGATAACAGCATTTCGCCCCTTAGCAAGAATAAAGAAAATGGAATCTTGACACTGTAACTGTCTCATATTTTATTTATGGCACATTGTAAATACACCATGCACGTTAATATGATGGAGAAGGTAAACCTCTGGTGGATCATCAAAGGGGAAGTCTGTGAATCGGCATGAGGAGGGAAGGGCTCCCATTCCGGAGTCTGGCCAAACCAAGCATATGGCCTGAATCGACGTCGCTGTCTGCCAGGCTGCGGATACGGGATCCTGCAGGCTGGAGTGACGTGTCCTCGGAGAAGACGGTGAGCCGGAGACCCAGGTGGAGGGTGCTGAGAACCCTGCCCCCCCCCCCCAGCGAGGGGTGAGCACAGGCAGAGGGGGGGCTGCATTGTATAGACTGATCCCCCAACTCTCACGGCGCTTCAGGCCACTTGACCCTCCTCCTCCCTTCAAGGGACGAAACGGCTTCATTAGTTTTAGCCTGTAAGGTTTTATTTAATTTTTTGGTTTTGGTTGTTTTGTAAGTATTAATTGGATCAGATGATTGCCTTTTGACTTGTTTGAATAATTAAGAATCTTTTTGTGAATCATGCATGGACGATAAAATCCCTTGACCTGCCTTAGAGCACTGTACAAACCCAGCACACTGTAAAGCTATACTTTAAAAATAAATAGTATTTGAATTACTCCTTGCCCCATGTGCTCCTCCGCTGATTGCCACTCCTCCCGTGGGTGCCGTCTCGATGGGTCTGCAAAGGCCGTGGGTTAGTGGGCTGGGCCGTCAGCGTCCTGTAAGGGGAGGGTAGAACAATACCCACTATACCCCTGTCTGTCATTTAATCATGTGCAGCAAGCTTTGTGTCACCCAGCAACAAATATGTGGGTCTGGTTCATTTAAAAACCAGGTTTCCAAACTTGAATTAGATCCACATTTCAGAGAAAGCTTTGGAAGGTTTTCATGTGGCGTATATCATATACTCGTTTGAAGCTTAGGTGTTTTGGTGAGAATTTTATTTTTTTTTCCTTTGCACTGGGTGATGGGGTCACCATTCTTAAATTGCAGAATTTAAGATGGTAAAAATGAAATTCATGGCTGGTTACACTTTGGCTGGAAGGATTTTATGACAAGACATGGAAGAAATGTTATCAGTAAATTCAGGATGAACAAACTGAGGGAGAGCATCTTGGCTTCATTAACGCAGAGGCTGTTGTGCTGCTTCACGGGGTTTTCCCTGCTTGTCATGACCCCAAAAGAAATTCCTTGTACTTCTCTGTACTTAAGGAAAAAAAAAAAGATTCGATTCTGATAAAATCTAGCCAGGTTTACTGAGACTTCTCAGAGAAACTACAGTGAAAAATGAGCTATACCCCAGTTTTACATTAAGCAGAACAAAGGAAAAGAATATTAATAATCTCCATATAGACAGAGTATCACCTAAAATTTGGGTGTAAACTTCCTAGTTCCATATCTCTCTAGGGGAAAAGGACATTTTCCTCCATATTTATGTGCACATTCCAGACTTAACGCAAACTTACAGCTGAGTTTTTCCCCAGTAAAATAAATGCAACAGCTACTGTCACCTAACACTGCATTTAAGATAATGCTGATAACCATTAAAGCAAATAACTTACTACTGTGTAGGACAGGGGTCTCCAACTCCGGTCCTGGAGAGCTACTATCCAGTCGGTTTTCTATCCCACTTGGCTTCTGATGAGCCACACCTGCTCCTGGTATTTACCTGAGAACAGCTGTGGCTCATCAGAAGCCGGGGATGATAGAAAACCTACTGGATAGTAGCTCTCCAGGACCGGAGTTGGAGACCCCTGGTGTAGGAAATACCGTAAACCCCCAAACCCATGAAGTACCCAGCAAGGACCAGAGTGATGAGCCTGAGACCATCGGCTAGAGCAGACTCTGGAGTATCTATTTACACGCAGGTCCTCACTCCCTGGCTCCACAAAAACATAAACACTGTGCTGAAAGTGGAATACAAATCTGTAAGGCAGGGTGCGTTACACACAAAATGTACCCTGGCAATACTTCCCAAGCTGAAGGAGCATGGTAATCTTGCTAATATTAGCACTTGCTTACAATGAATCAGAATTCCCCTCGTGTAGCATAAAACAAGGAATTTTAGATTGGGGGGGGCAATAAAAAAAAATTGTGGGGTCGATAGCATTAGCCATGAAATAGCACTGTGGGTTACTGATACCCAGGTGCAACTAATATCTGCCAGCTATATACATGCAGGTGCAA